AATTTTATGACTTTATTCTCGTAATTTTCCAACTTTATTCTCATAATGTTACAACTTTATTCTCGAAAAAATTCTCTAGCCTGGCCCTAACACTCAGTCGTGGCGGGTACAGGTTTGTACATGTCCATTTTTTTTTAAAGAAGAAAGGGCAGCTCTCTTAAAAAATCCCGAAAATCCTCCACAATACCTTTGAGATTTAACATATTTACATTCAAGATTATAAATTTATTATTAGCTGTAACATTTAGATTTAAGATAAATATACATTTACAAATTTAAATTTAACTATGAAATTTTGATATAAGATTTCAGACATATATTTAATTTCAAGAATTAAATATAAGCTAAAGATTTTGATATGGATTTAACTTTTAACATTTAAATTCAAGACAAATATTTGGATTTAGTTTTAAGACTTAGATTAAATACTTTTATTTCAGATTTTATATTTGTATTTGATTTAACATTTAGACTCAAGATGTATATTTAGATTCTAGATTTAGGCTATATGTTTTAATTTAGATGTAAAATTGTAGATTAAGAAATATATTTAGATTCAAAATTTAGATATGACATATAGATTCAATATAGATTTAAAGATTTAGATAGGATATATATAAATATGTGTTTACCATATACCGGTATATTAAGCGTTAATGTTCCTAAATGTTAAATAAAAAAGTTTTTTATAAGAGAAACTTGGCAGTCAAATTGATTTTGTTAACTTTTTTCATTTGGCACCCCATAAATTATGGACAGTGGTAATCTTTTCTTTCAGATGATCTCTTCCACAAAAGCTGCATTTTCAGGTTTAGTGTTGCTGATCATCTCAGAACAAGGCCTTCCTCTGTGTGAAGCCGGCTAAGGAATGGGATAATTCAAGCTCCAGATAATCCATAAGGCCCTTTGGCATTCCCATATAGGTAGAGCTGCTAAAACACACACATGAATCTGCTCCTGTGTGCAGACGTTCAAATGGTTGTGTGTGTTTTCAGGTCGCTGTGTGAGTGTGTCCATAATGGCTGCTTTCCATTACTTCAATAAACCTTTGCAGGTCAGTGTTGGATTTTATTTGTTTGTGGAACGTTACTCGACATGCAAGCGCTCACCATTGGGGGTTGGGGTCGCAGCAGCATGCAATAGGAGCAGGGAGGCAGTGTGAGGGCCGTGCTGTTTGCAGGTCAGCCAGCCACAGCGCACCCAGAGGAAATCTCATGTTCCTGCCAGCCTACAAAAGTAAACATATCTGTAACCACCACAAGCTGGCACCAGGCCCGAGCCACTAGCGCTAAACTAAAGGGGTGAATCACATAGCTATTTAAAATGAGAACATAAGAAATTTTGACTCATTGCTCAGTTTTTTTCGACTTGTAATTTAACCAAACTCGTTCCTGCTAAACGTCTCCAAACTTCTACGAAACCGCGGCGTTCCTGCTAACTGAAAAAACACGCATGCCCTCCACAAGCTGTGAAAAAATAACACTTGTTTGCTTTTTGAACGCATCTGTCCGTAAAACTCCAGCTTCACTCAGTGTGTCAGATAGCATCTCTTAGCCATGGCGTTTCCAGACCCCCTCCTCTCTTTCATGTCCTTCACTCTCCTCTGTTTTTCCCTGTTCTGGCTTTCTCCCCTGTCTACACATCTGTGGTTATTTATCTGTTATTTTGTGGCAGAAATGTGGTCAGCATCTGTCTGGCTCTCCTTCATTGGGTGCTCATTTGTAGTCAACTTCAGAACCACACAGGGATCAAATATACTTGTTCATTTAGCAGCACAAGCTGCACAGGGACAGGTACATGGGCTCATATTAGGGTTTTACTTTTTATAAATTTAAATATCTCCTTATGGGTTAAAGTGAACAATAAGAGAAGGATGGATGTCATTACCGCCAAGAGGTAGAGCATCTGAAAATACTATTTGTGCAGCTTAAACCTATGGATTTGCATTACTCTGACCTTTAAGCTTATAATCTCAAGGTTATTTAATCCTCTAGAAAGAGTATTTCTTCAGACATGATTGAGGCAGGGATAGATCAACCTAGAAACCACATGAGTGGCAGCTGTAACTTAAAGCATAAAGGGGCTTTAGAGCTTTCTATAACAGCTGAACTTTGTCTGAGATGTTTAATTGAGCATTCAGAATTAGCCACATTTAAGTGTCATTTGTGAAAAATTTTCTCACTTTTTAAATCCCCACAAAAATCAACTACCTGCTCTGATGTGACTGTTTGTTTTGTGTTGGAAGTGTTTATTACTTGACAAATCAGCCTGTAAGGGAAATGCCTATACAGCTGATCGAATTAAGATGCATCCTAAGTCTCCAAATTTGCAAGAGGTCCTATTCTTTCCAGGATCTCTTGCCTGTGGAAAATGTAGCTTTAACATGAAAGATTACAGGGTCATTCTGATTACTCCTCATCAGTGTGGGCACTAAACCTCCAAACCTCAAACTGTTCTTTCACAGATTGCAAAGCCTTGCAGTTCCCATCAGTTTTACATAGTGGATAGACCAAATAGCATTAACCAGGGACCTTTTTTGGTTGCCTCCTTAGTTGTTTTGTCATTAAAATACAACAGAGTAGTTTGAAAATACACTTATTTTCTTTTCTTGTCAGAGTTTGATTTTAAGTGGTCTTTCTAACGATGCACCTAGAATGATAGGTCTGACCATGTTTATGTTTCTGTCCAGTCTTTTTTATTTAATCCACAAATAATGTGCCTTACTCACTAGGTTGCATCACAAAGTCTTCAGTTTGGAAGTTGTGAATGTGAGAAGAGTAAAAGTTAGTGAGCAATACTCTTTGGTGTGGAGGTTTTTATTGAGGGAAGTAGAACAAAATTAATGATTTTCAGTATTACTGAGGTGTTCAAGTCAAATGATGCTCCAAAGCTGTCAGAAGTTTTTCCTATGTGGCATGTTTGATTTATTTGTCCAGTCCACTATAAAGGAAAGTTGCCATCACATTTGCTGGTAATTTAGTTCAATAATCTTTCTTACTTATTTGGATTTTATGTATGAATTTTTCAAGTTAAAGTTGGTCATGTCTGGCATAGCAGGTCGGTTCTGACTCACCTGGGGGTCTTTAGTTTTGTTTGATTTGACCCAGACTTCATTATTTTAAGCTTTCCTCTAAAGTCTGTAGGTCTATTTTCCCAAAAAGGTACTTTTGCACTTTAGAAGGCCTTTCTCAACTTGTACATTGCCTAAACTGCCTATGTTGTTATAAAGTGAGACAAAGGTCCTGGAGGATGAAGTGGATGTGAAAATTGGAAAGTAAATGATTCTGGGCCTGAGTAAATTAGATTAAAATGGACAAAAAAAGGACTTCTGCCTAAAAGAAAATCCAGATGTTTATATACAAAACTTCTTACCTTTCCGGTAATGAAGGAAATTAACATAATAAATTGTAATTACAACATCTTACCTGCATTACGTAGCAAACTTGGTGTCCATCCAAACAAACAACTGAGAATTTATAGATGTTTAAATCGAAACAAATCCAGGCAAACCCCTATCAGGCCATTTTGGAACTGTTTGGTATAATGTCTGCAATTTGGAATTTATTATTGAAATAAAAAATTTGGAATGCTAATATATATTTGGTTATTAAAAGTGCAGTTTTCCTCTCCAAAATCACAAGTTTTATTTTTTCAGCACCCTTTAATAACACTTTAATTACACACTATATATATACAAAGCTAAGTGGCAGTCAGATGATGAGGACTCATAGGGGTATCTAAAAAACCCTTTTTACCAATCAGGGAGATTTGGAAATGTTGCATTCTACAGAAACCAATGGTATGCATCAATTGAAGATAGACAGAAGCTCCAGCATATCACACTCAAGACTAGCAGAGGTCTTTGTGATTTATACAGAGGAACAGATTCCAAATATGGCCGTGCTGCTGTTCCATAATACAGAGAGATGAAAAAACTTTTAACTGAATAATAAGCTATGGGTTGGATATATCCCATAAACTGTAATTTATAGGGTTTAAAATCTCTTCTGATAAAAAACAAAAAAACTGTAAAGGTAGGGGCGATTTGGACTTTTGGAGAACTTTGTGGAGTAGTCAGCTACGAATTAACAGAATTTTGCTAATGAGTTTGACTTCAGCTGATTTAGTGTCTTGTTGGCTTTCATTTGCAATGCACAATTACAGTAGCAGCCATTCAAAATGGCCCTTCCCAATCAAACGCCATCCGAATAGCAGCCCACTTCTCTGCAACTCCCGGCAAGATCCTCCAACTTCCAGCCACTGGAGTGACCCACTCTTGTATATTTGTTTTACTCCGACTCCACCCTTTTATTGAACTACAGGGTCTGAACAGGAAATTACGCTTCTCTTTAGATCCTAATGTCCACAAATCACGACAGAATGAATATTTTAGTACAAAGATTGATGTTTAAAAAGGAATACTTGGGGACCAACCAAGGGCCTATCAAGGGAAGTGGGAAAATTTTGAATGGCTACTACTGGAGGTGCTATCAGAACACATTTTGGCAGAGTGTTGCAGCTGTGGTCTGTGGATATTAGAATGAAGTAGATAGCTTTGTATAGGAGTCTCAGATGAAGATCTGGACATATGATAAGTGTGTGTCAGTCTCAGAGTGAGTCAGCTACACACTTATTATTGCAAAAGAACTCCAGTCCCCCTAAAAGGGGACGCTTGGGCTTAAGGGTTTAAAGAGGCTTTATGGAGTTTTATAATTATACTGCCACCTGTGGCCAAAACACTTGGATGCGCTTGAAGTCACATCCGCAGAACAGTGTGGGAACTTCTGTCCCAAAGTACTTAACAAAAATAAGTCACAGACTTATAGATGCATTGGTCATAAAAGATCAAATATAAGCATTATTTTTAAGCTATTTTTCAGGAAAAACTAAGAAAATGTCTCTTTAAATCTGTTTTTTTATAAAGACATGCTGAAAAAGCTGATTTGAAATCAACCCTGGTGTCTAAAATGTGATAAAAGAAGACACACATGAATAAGTCAGATGATTAATGCAAACTCTTTATATATATATTTATACATATATATATTTATATATTTCTTCAGTATGATTGCAACAACATATTCATAGAGCAGTCCAACACAAAATAAAACACAGACACACGTTTTTGCTGTTTAAAGTGATATGAGGCTAAATGGTTCCCTTTGTAATCGGGTGCCTTCATTTGTTTAATTTAAGTAGTGCACCATGTTGAGAGGAGAGACATTTCAAAGCTCCAGCAAACTTAAAAACAAATCAGACCAGAGAAATAAATACTGTACAACACCATAATATGTAATACTAGACTCAGAAGTCACAAAGAGGTCATGCTTTTTATCAACACTTCATATATGTTATGCAGCTTCATGAAATAATGCAGCATTTCTGCTCAGCTTACCTTACCTTAGAATAACAAACCTGGTAATGAATGGCGAAAAAAATAAAGTGCCTTACTTCAAAATTGGTCATTTCAAAGTAGAAAATGCCTGTTTGCATGATGGAGGCAGAATATCCTGAAAAGAGGTTTGGAGAAAAAAACAAATCCAGGGAATAAGATTGGATAGAAAAGAAAGTCAGAGAGTCATGTTTAGGTTAATCAGGCAGTTCTTCAAAGGCCAGAGGTTAAAACTATGCTTTTCTAATATCATGCACCATACATTAAGGCTAAAGCCGGAAATATTTGGTAAAACCAACTTGTTTTTATTTCAGTAACCTTTACCAGCTAACAACATGACTTCATTTCGGAAGTTAAATCTTTTCTATCCAACCCAGTTCAGTCAAGCAGCTTGAAGGTAATGCGTCCTAACCATCCAACTTTTCAAAGGATCCACCTGCTTTTAAAAAATAAAACTAATCTGCTCACTTCCTGTGTGGATTATACATGGAATACACACCAGCTAATCTTTACCACAAAAATGCCTTATACAAGATCCAGAAGTGTCCTGCTGATGAGGTTTGTGAACAAGTTTGGCAAGGTCAGTTATTCCCCCTGAGAATATTTTAGGGACATACTTTCATGTTAAACCTAATCACTTTACCAACAACTGCCCTGTAGAGATGTGGAGGCTTGGTTTATACTGGCATCTATTGCATCTCTTTGGCACCCAGATCATTTATTTTTGCTGGATGTGAAAGAAATTGTGAGGACACCGATAAAATCGGAGCACATATTTTCTGGATCTTTTTTACCTAAAGGCTGCTCTCGTAATAAACTCTGTAAATTGTAACAGGGACACTCAAGTGTTTTAGATCGTTTAGCCTTTCAGGTCCTTCCATCTTCAGATGCATTTTTCTTAATAGTTTGCAGTAGTGTTGGAGAAAACACTAAGAGAATGCACGGGTTGTCTTTACGAAACTGCAAGTCATGTGTTAAATCCATAAAGCCTGAGGGGTTTCACTCTGTAGCAGCATTGTTAGGAGGTCGATCAGCTAAACTCTGCTGTGTCTCAAAAAGAACCACACTTAATTGTCATCACTGTTGTTTCTATAAAACCTTTAAGAAGCATGATGAAGGATTTAGGGTATATATTATCGTCCAGGGGTAGCATAATGCAAGCCATCAGTTGAATGGACTTTAGAAAGGGAGAAATGGATGTAACACCAGATGTGTGAGACATCTTTCCTTTTTTTCCCTCATCTATTCGTTTAAATTAGTAAGTCCGGCCTGTATTCAGAACAATGATGCTATTCCTAATTTGAAATAGGTGCAAACCTCATCAAAACTCCCAGTCAAGAATGAAATTGTTTGAGTTTTCCATAAATGATTAATAGCTCATGAGTGGCTTAAAAGTAATATTTCCAAACTTTTAGCAGAGGGTGTTGCAGAAATTTGGACTGGGTCTTCTGACTCTTGAACTGAAGTGTAGTTGTTTTGGCTCTAGGACCTCAGTACTCTCTGGCCTCTTCAAGTTCATTCATAAACACGTCTTCATGGGGGTTTTCTGGGCAACTCAGTCCGTTATTTGGTGGCCGCACCACATGGAAGCGACTCCAGTCCCCCTTACACAGGATCCAAGGCAGAACATCTACCTTGAAATGCAGCTCCTGTGAGAACTCTGTGCTGATGAGGTTCGGTGTGCCCGCTCCCTTCCCGCGTGTGATCAGCCGACCACGATCGTTGTAGCAACAGTGCTGTGCTGCCAGAGTAGATGAGTCGCTGGAAAGCGCTGAGCGGATACAGCTGCGTGCCGAGGGCTTGTAGATGTCCAAGCGCTCCTTTGGGCCACTGGCGTCGCGCCATCGGAAAGTTCGGCCGTGAGTCTCATCATGCAGGCTTACCACAGTGTAAGCCACTTCAGACGGGTACGAGCAGGGGCAGCTGGGCAGCTCAGACAAAACCTGCTCCAGATACCTTTGGAGAAAGTCACTCTTGCAGTTCAGCCATTTCTCACAGCTGTCCACATCTGTTGGGAAAGAGGTCAGAGAGAGCAGAGCTGTGTCTTTAGAAGTTCACGGTAGAAGGAACAGGTGTCAGGGTGAATTCTAAATCATATGAGTGGCTTTTCTAAACATTTATATTATAGTTCAGACCATGAACAGTCTGCATTCTCAAGAGAAAATATATCAGTTACATACTATTGTTCCTCATTAGCCCACAGTTCCAGTATAATCAGGGCCATAGAAAAGAGGTCACACCCCTTCAACTTTTCCACAAACTTCTCAGAATGTTACTTGGATTTTAGGTGACATTACAAACACCAGGTAATGTATAACGCTGATGCTCAAGGTAAGTGGTGCATTTCTTTTTTAACCTTTTGGAAATACAGAAATGTGAATAATACAGAGTTATTATTTTGTAGGACCCCTTGTGACTCCAACTACACCTCCCAGCCCTTTAAGGTTATGCATTTGCCAGCTTTGCATATCAAGAACTGAAGCTTTTTTGCCCATTACTTTTTTCTAAATAGCTTAAGTCAGACAAACTATAAAAGAATCTTTGTGATAGAATCACAATTTTAAAGTTTTATCCTACTTTCTCCTTTAGATGTAAATCTTGAGTTACCCATTCTAAAGCATCAATATGATTTGATCTATCTTTTGCAATGTTATGGAGGAATACTACACGAAAAAATTTAACATAAATCAATTAAGCAATTTATAATGTGTTTGCAAAAGCTGAACCAGTAGGTCTACAGCTTCATGATTTATTCAGATTTTATTTTTTCAAAAACTTCAGAAAAAATGCAATTTGTAGAACTTGTTCTCTACAAAATGAAAAAAAGAGAAAAAAAGAGAATGAGAGCATTACATTCTGTCAATATTAAAACAAAATCAATACTTTTTTTTAAAAAAACATGAAAATTATTTTATGAAAATTAAAGCTGAAAAATGGAAAATAACATCTGGAAAACAAAATTTGAAAAAAAAATAAATAAATACTAAAAACGAATAACTCCCTGTCCACAGATGTTCACATCTGGGGATCTCTTCAGCCCCTACAGAGTTACCATAAACCAGGGATTCCCAAATATTACAGCCTGCGATCCCAAAAATAACAATGCAACAGACTGTCATGTCCTAAAACTTCATATAATCTCAGTAGATTTAAAGATACACCACCCCTGATAAAATAAATGCATTAAATTTGTTTCTGTTGTTTGACCTGTTTTGCCAGAAATGGGACGCTATTTCCAGGAGCTTTTTCAGCTTTGGATTTAAAAATAAATCTAGTCTTTTTTAGCCTTATTTCTTCCTTTCGTGTTAACTCTATGTTATATAGAGCATAATCTAAAGAAAGAAATAACTAAAAATAGATAAACATAGTCAATCATATTTTGCCGGACTACTAAGAACATGTCCGATGACAAGCTGTTAATATATGACATATAAAGTCCTTTATTTTTTATTGCAGGGTTATTGCACAGGATATTTCAATAGATGGGTATTTATCTATATAATTATTCCACTGGGTATTAAATATAAAGTAACAGGTTGTTGCACAGGGTCTTACATAGTAATTGCAAATTATACATTGCACAAGTTATTGCTGTTGTAGTGTCACATTGTACGGTCTGGTGGCAGCAGATTGTCTCAGAAATGTCATAAAAACAGTTTTGAAGACTTATATTAGTATTCTTTAGTGACTTAAGGATAAAAATAAGTACCGTATTTTCACGACTATAAGGCGCACATAAACGTCTTTTTTTCCCCCTCAAAATGTGCGGTGCGCCCTTTGGTGCGGTGCGCCCTATGTGTGTTGCAACTGCGACTTTTGAGACCACCTCATTGAGGAGATGATGAAAGAGTGGCTGAGGGAGGTGAATGTAAGGAGACCAGGTGGTTTTTTTTCCACTCATCACCATACCATCGCTGTAATCTGACTCCATGCGTGCCCATCTCACAGCTGATGTGAAAAACATGGTGAAACAAATTAATTCTGTGCTCGCTGTGAACCGGACGCAGCAGGTGCAGCAGAAGCAGCGAGTTTACATGCAAAGTCAACGGTTGACGAGCGTATAGACGCAGCAAAAGGTGCTGCTGCTCGAGATGGAAAAATTGAAGTTTTGCTGCTGGAAGCGCCGCATCAACGAATCAGAGAAGCTGATCTGGGAGCTGGCTGTGAGATGACACATCGCTCTGATGACATATGATATTAAAGCAAATGAAAGGGCTGGATGGATGAGGAGATGATGAAAGCGTGGCTGAGGCAGGTGTATGTGAGGAGACCAGGTGGTTTTTTCCACGCATCACCATCGCTTTTAATATGTGACTCCATGCGTGCCCATCTCACAGCTGATGTGAAAAAAAATAAACGCTGTGCTCGCCGTTATCTCGGGGGTCTGACAAAGGAACTTCAACCGCTCGACATCGGTGTGAAGCGGCCGTTCAAAGTAAGGCTGCGAGCGGCGTGGGAGCAATGGATGACCGACGGAGACCACAGTTTCACGATAAGTGGAAGGCAGCGCCCGGCAAGTTACGCCACCGTTTGTGGATGGATTGTAGATGCTGGGACTAACGTGTCTGCTGGCTCTGTTGTTCAAGCTTTTGCAAAAGCCGGCATTATTTCTGAGGAGCTGCGCTGCACGGAAAGTGACCCTGACAGCGAAGAAGGGGAAATTGGCATGTCTGATTTAGCGCAGCTGTTTTATTCAGAAACAGAGGATGATGACTTTGATGGGTTTGATTAATACTTTGTAATAAATACATGAATAAAGCACAAACATACTCAGTTTTGCTCCCGCTCTATTTTTCTACCTGAAAACTTAATTCAACAGCAGCCTCTGGGCGCGTCTCCTCCTCTTCACCGCGGTGGCTGGCAGGTGTTTTTTCATCTAAATAATCTAAATCTTGCAGCTATATTTGCTGTGATCAGTGGGAATAAAGTAGTTTTAATATGTTTTTAAGTGAGAAAGGCCACCTGAAAACTTCATAATTGCAGTCAGTTCATCCAGATGATCTATTTCTGTCGGAGGCGCTCAGACCCCCACATACCAGCGGTGCACCGACAGTAAATCCCTTCAACAGCAGCCTCACCGCGGCTGCTGGCAGGTGTTTTTCATCTAAATAATTTAAACTGCAGGCACCAGGATACCGGTAATAAAAGCGAAAATATTCCGTCGGCAGGTTTCAGGATTTTAAGTTAATTTAGGAGTGATCACAGCGCTCTGTCATCTGCGATGTGTCTGTCTCACGGCCAGCTCCCAGGTTTGATTAATACTTTGTAATAAATACATGAATAAAGCACAGTCATACTCAGTTTTGGGCCCGCTGTATTTTTAAATACGCAGTAGAGGTATTTAAAGGTAGTAGAGGACTTGTACCTGTATATAAAAAACGCGCCCTATAGTCCGGTGCGCCTTATGTGTGTGTTAAATACAGAGATTGACAGCTGTCCCAGCATACAACGCGACAGCAGCATCTTCCATTGGAGCACCCACAGAGCTCAGAGTATTAAGTTAAAAGTCTCTTTTTGTTGCCATTAGTCTTTAAAAGTATGTTTGATCATTTGAAGGAAGAACATTATACTTTTAAGTGTTACTATATGGCCCATATTTAGTGTGTAATAAAAAATAATTCCGCTGTTTAGAGGACTGTGGCAACCAGTGGACCTCCGAGTCTAACCACAGCCAGGGCTAACCTTAGTCCGTCTGCAGCAGCCCCCTCTCGGCATAGCCGTGTGTGAAGTACTGCTGGCTCTGATGGAGGCTTTTATGTTTTATTTTGCAACAATTTCATTTGATTTATGTTTATGTGATTATGTTAATCATTATTACCCCCCTTAATGAAAAAAGGAGGAATTCATATTATCTAGAGACTATTAATAACACGAGGTGAATGGTAGCATTAGACAAGCCAAGCAGGTGGTGACATCACGAGTATTTTTCTGTTCCATTCCACCCATATTTATGTTGCGTGCTCCCATTCTCCCAGAGTCCACATTTTCCTGTGTTCTTATCAAGAACATACTTGAGTCCGTACTCACGTTCTTGTGAATTGAGAAACTGCCAAAGTCTTTTTTTTTTAACTGAACATTTATGTATATAAGCTGCACCGAGCTATAAGTCGCTGATATGTACTGAACTTTCCCCCACCAAACCCGTAGGGGGAGCTCTATACATCGCCCCTAGATTAGGGATTAAGAAGAATGCTAGCTCCCGTTAGCTTGTTGGCATCAGTAAGAGCTTGTAATGAAAGATGGGGCTTCGTCAGCTCTTTATTTCAGCTCTACAGGAGTTGTGCAACTTCTCTTCATAGGTTCAACATTTTTTATTGGGCAAATAAATGTTAAAATGTTTGACTTAGGGACATTTGTTATCTGTGGTGCCCGCCGCTAGCATAAGCTTGTGTTAACGGAAAATTAGAGCTTTCTTCTTTGATTTCCAACTTTGATTTCCGCACCCTGGTAGTTTAAGAAAAATCCACTGAAAAGCCGCACCTTCACATAAACCACAGGGTTCAAAGCGTGGAAAAAAAGTTACAGCTCATAGTCCGGAAAATACGTTATGTATTAGATAAATAAATGTAACATTTACTAATTTCATGATAAACATATTCATTTCAGTCAGATTTATGTCTTTATATTATATATATCTAGACCTCCCGATATACACTATATTGCCAAAAGTATTTGCTCACCCATCCAAATTATTGGAATCAGGTGTTCCAATCACTTCCATGGCCACAGGTGTATAAATTCAAGCACCTAGGCATGCAGACTGTTTTTACAAACATTTGTGAAAGAATGGGTCGCTCTCAGGAGCTCAGTGAATTCCAGCGTGGAACTGTGATAGGATGCCACCTGTGCAACAAATCCAGTCGTGAAATTTCCTCGCTCCTAAATATTCCACAGTCAACTGTCAGCTGTATTATAAGAAAATGGAAGTGTTTGGGAACGACAGCAACTCAGCCACGAAGTGGTAGGCCACGTAAACTGACGGAGCAGGGTCAGCGGATGCTGACGCGCATAGTGCGAAGAGGTCGCCAACTTTCTGCAGAGTCAATCACTACAGACCTCCAAACTTCATGTGGCCTTCAGATTAGCTCAAGAACAGTGCGCAGAGAGCTTCATGGAATGGGTTTCCATGGTCGAGCAGCTGCATCCAAGCCATACATCACCAAGTGCAATGCAAAGCGTCGGATGCGGTGGTGTAAAGCACGCCGCCACTGGACTCTAGAGCAGTGGAGACGCGTTCTCTGGAGTGACGAATCGCGCTTCTCCATCTGGCAATCTGATGGACGGGTCTGGGTTTGGCGGTTGCCAGGAGAACGGTACTTGTCTGACTGCATTGTGCCAAGTGTAAAGTTTGGTGGAGGGGGGATTATGGTGTGGGGTTGTTTTTCAGGAGCTGGGCTTGGCCCCTTAGTTCCAGTGAAAGGAACTCTGAATGCTTCAGCATACCAAGACATTTTGGACAATTCCATGCTCCCAACTTTGTGGGAACAGTTTGGAGCTGGCCCCTTCCTCTTCCAACATGACTGTGCACCAGTGCACAAAGCAAGGTCCATAAAGACATGGATGACAGAGTCTGGTGTGGATGAACTTGACTGGCCTGCACAGAGTCCTGACCTCAACCCGATAGAACACCTTTGGGATGAATTAGAGCGGAGACTGAGAGCCAGGCCTTCTCGTCCAACATCAGTGTGCGACCTCACAAATGCGCTTCTGGAAGAATGGTCAAAAATTCCCATAAACACACTCCTAAACCTTGTGGACAGCCTTCCCAGAAGAGTTGAAGCTGTTCTAGCTGCAAAGGGTGGACCGACGTCATATTGAACCCTATGGATTAGGAACGGGATGTCACTTAAGCTCATATGTGAGTCAAGGCAGGTGAGCAAATACTTTTGGCAATATAGTGTACCTCAGGGATGACACTAATGATCTTCTGATAACTGGCGGTCCTAAACCCGCCATAGATTCCTTGGGTAATTACCTCGTAATCCCTGACATGTCTACAGCCTTTCTCTGTCTTCCTGATTCTATTTTCTGTTTTTCGTCTTTTTTTTTTTTTCCTAAATGGGTTTTCTTTAATTTTCCATGAGGCACTTTGGTTTGCCACGCATGTACAGATGGTGCTGCACAAATAAACGTACTTTGCTCCCTAACAAATCTCAGAGGCCATATGAAAAAAACAAAAACAACTGTATCTAATGAATAAAGTGTGAATTCTGGACCCAATTTCTAGCCAGTACTACAATATTTTCACCAACAGTATTCTATAAAATACCCACCTGTTCCGAATGGTTCAGTTCCATTCTCCATCTCAAAGGGGAATGGTTCTACTACAGTGTTGACATCCCCTACAACGGGAAGAGGCATTCATTTATAGAAATAAGAAACCATGTGGAACAACAAATGAAGAAGGAAAAAACTTTACCAGGACAAGGCTCCAGGTCACACTTTGAAGCTTCTGTCAGCATGCAGGAGTAGCCACAGGATTTAGTCCTCTTCCTTTCACCGTGTCCACATGTCACCGAGCACGGTGACCAAGGAGTCCATTCATCAGTGTCTTTCTCTGCAGGAGAGAAAACAAATCCAAATTCACCACCGACTCAAACTCAGAGTAATCTCTTGTGATTTGGTTCTGGTAGATCAAAGCAAGTTAACCACTCTTTGATTAGATCAGTGTAAAAACAGAGCGAACCCCCCCCCACCCCCACCCACCCACAAAAAGTTTTGTTTTGACAAGAATTTGTGTACTTCAACGCTCTAATTCAGAACAAGTTTTCAAAGTTTCCTAAACGTTCTAGTCTATACACACACAACTATTTTCTCTTGGTTCAACCTTTCCCATGCAACCATTTGCTCCTTTTTAAGCAGACTTCAGTGAAATTAGAGGGAGAGAGGTTGTGCTGTGGCTGTCCGCCTCCGCACCATATTTCCTTGTGGTGTTAATAACACTGAAAAACAAGTCATTCCTGATTAAAGACGAGGTGGGTGCAGAAATACCAGCCTGGGTGTAGCATGCACCCAATTTGACTCTGTGGGCAACGCCAGCTCTCCATGTGGCCATAGGGGCATGAGTTCTCAGGAAGGTTGTAATTACAGATCGAGCTAAGGTTGGCACCCTTAATTTATGTTCACAAAGTCTTTAGATGTGACCATTGGAGTTGCATTGTTGCCCTTAACTGATTCTTCTATAAACACAACAGTGACAGAGATTGAAACATCTGTAATGGCTTAATGGATAAGGAAACAGATTAGATTTAACCCAGACTGCTTGGTAGAGTCACCTGCTGAATTTCTCTCATCTATAAAAATACTTGGATCTATGAGGGGGAGCTACACAATGCTATTTGGTCTCTGAATATGGGATTCTCATCCCTTTATCAAACTCTGGCATTGTGCACCTCGCTGCGCTTCCTCTCATTATTTTTACTATTTTTATCCCTGGGTAAGTTGTCTGTGAAAACTGAGACACAACACAAGTTATGCGGTGCCCTCACAGCCTCGCAAATTCTTGAACTCGCTCAAAAGACTGCGCCGCGCAGGACAGTGAGGGCGTAAAGGGGAGGGGGCCCATGGGGTCCCGGCGAGGGATGAAAGAGCCGGCCAAATGGTCTCTGCCATTCCGTGTTCCCAATCTGCCCTCTAATTGTTCACAAGCAGAGGGATGTTTTGTCCCAGAGAACAGTGACGGCCTCACGCTGCTATTAGTGAGCCCATCAGAGCCGTCTTCAAAGGGCGGGCCTCTGAGACCGGCACGACAGTGTCGACTTCAAAGCATCCGTAACCCACAGTGTCCTCATGGTCGAGTGCTTATGCTTCCTCGTATGCTGGCATCATTTGGCTCTCTCCAAAACTTAGACCTAAATAAGCCATGGAGTTGTTCTTCAGCATCTTTATCACATAGCTATGTCAGCTTAATTTGTTTAAAATTCATCTAGGTTTTATTAAACCGTATTGATTATTTAGTTGTGGTTTGCTAATGGATCTAACGTGTCATTACCATAGTAGCTTTCCATGGGATCGAAACCATTCCAGCGAGTATCCCAGTCTCCCCCAACTCCACTGAGTAAGAGCTCTTCGCTCCCATAATCCACAGAGTAATCATCCTCCCCTTCCTCTTCCCCAGTTTCGTCTGTGCTTGACCGACTGTTGATTTCCTCACTGGAATCGGTGTAGCTCCAAAACAGAGGCCAGAAGAGCTTCTTGCCTCCGATCAAATCCACTGTGGAGGAAGGAGACGAAGAAGAAGGTAGCCAATCTTTTTCATTGGCCAGGTCCATCTCTACCTCCATCTGAGGGTCGTCGACGACTTCTATAGTAACCTGGGCAGAACAAGGGAGATCTGTCAAATAAACAGACAGCTAAAGATCCTGTCGCATCCTAAACATTGCTTGGTGGAAGAATAGTTTTTCTTATCGAGCAGTTTTTGGTCAGTTTACAGACTCTCTTTTCAAAGCTCTTACTTGTTAGTAGTCCAGAGATGATTGTTTTTCAAAGAAAACTGTTAGGTCGAGAGATATCACTAATATCACAATCTCCTTGTAAATTCCCTATAGGTTAAATATCCTGCTGCAACGTCTGGGATTTCCAGAAAGCTGCTAATATTTCAACACCAAACTTCTTTCACGAGAAATAGGAACAACTTTGCAGTACTCCATATATCCTTTTTTTCTGACATTGTCTCTCTTATCTAGCAGAAAATGCTAGATGAGACCCCAACTGATCCTACTTAAACACAGCAATGGCTTTAACTACAATATAGAGTATTGTTTTCAACATCATGTGTATAGTAGGCTTATTCATAAAAAAAAAAAAACAATTGGAGAGTTTCTGACTAGTTGCTCTCCAAAAACCAAAGGTTTTGCATTAAAAATATTTCTATGATTAAACATATTTACAAAAGTTAAGTTAAACAATGTATTTATGAAAATTAAAAGCCATATTATCATATCAGTGACAACCTCTAATCAGAAACTGTGCTAGATGACTGTGCTAATGACTGACTCCTTCTATAGATGTGAGTCAGTCATTGAGCATGAGCATTCAGTAGATCAAACAAACAACTCTCTGAGGGAATTAGAAAACCTTCATGCTAGATAAATACCTCTCATTTCCTCAAGATGACTCACCCTGGATGCAACAACATTTCCCAAAACCTAATTTAGTTGATTTTAAGCTCAGATATTCATCAGACCAAAAAGAAAAAAAAACTAGAAAATGAATTACCGTATACAAACTGGCGTTTGAAACGTCTGAATGGTAAATGACAGCTCATAAAAATGCAATTGTTGACAATGGGGAGTTAGTATACGCCCAAGGGGAGAAGGTTCCCAGCTTTTCAGAGACATTTTGACATTCTAAGATGTGGTATGAAAGATGACAAGGGCTCATAATGTTGTCGCTGACCAGTTTAGGCCTAAATTGGTATGAGCACATCCCTGAATACATTCACTAGGGTTTGAGAGAATAACTTTGTTGAAGAGTGTAATGATGATATGATTACTCCGTCATCTTTCTTTACATTTTTATTAAATAAAGCTGCAAAAGGAAATATATCTGATTTAGACTTTATTTATGGGTGTTACTCAACCTTTCCCTTAAAGTGTGTTTTCCCCTCTATCGACTTGCCTGTATGTTGGGGTTCTGTGAGTTAATGTCAGCGTTGGTCAGGTCTGGAAAGTTGTTTAGGTCCAAGATAAAAGGCTTGGTCTCTTCCTCGGGCTCGGGCTGTGGGAGAACACCTACAGAGCGATGTTGGGGGTGAGACCACCTCCTCTGGTGGCTGTGAGGCTCAGGAAGTATGGTCTGGACCTGGTTCTGCTGCTCCTCAGAAACATGCTGGATCCCAGCAACGTGAACTGGATTGCCATGAATCTGTTAATAAAATACAAAAACATTAACAGCAGATTGCATATATCCCTACATCCTTTTGAAATGTCATCATATATGTATGGATATCACTCGGATTTTTATTTGATTAAATGAACACAGAATTGTGAATGGCTGGATTTATTTTTCTACTAAAACATTTTCAAAAATGTAAAAATCAAGTGTAAAATGAATTTAGAGGAACCAGTGACTTCATACATTTCCTGAATAGTAAATAGAGTGTGTTTAATTTCATCTCAGTTGTGCAATCTACAAATTGAGCTGTAGTACTTCTGTAAAACATGGACTGCACATAAACCTAAGAGAAACATCCCTGTTTAAAACATGGTGTTTGTGGCATCATTCTGAAGTGCTAATTCTTAAGCAGGTACAGGGATGCTTCTGAGACTAATGGATAGAGGAAAACCTGAAAGAAAAAGTGCTAACATACCTAACTTAAGATAAGAAGTCCATTTTCCTGCAGGACAGTTACCCTACTTTACAAATGTTGCACTGCACAGATGTGTAATGTTGGTGGAGATAACTCATTCCTTTCCTACTGTAACTGCAGTGCAAGATAATACAAAATATTGAGTCATGGGGCATAATGGTGATCCAATACAGCTACTGTAGTACTTCTTTATATAAACAACCACCATTCTTCATTTCCTAGCACGGTCAGCAATTTGTAAAGGACCTGAGGTATTCATGTTCCTAACCAAGTGATCAACAAGAATTTGTTTCTTTTTTCTTCCAACAGTCATGGAATCCAAGCTGTAGACAAAGGGGGTCCTGTGCCGGCGAGATCCTCTTTTAGCTTTAATTAGAGGGCCCGGGAGGTGTGGGACTCCTGAGCTGCTGCAAGGGTGTCTGAACCTGCTGGGCTGCTGTATTTATTCACCCACTGCATGTGACCGCTCAGTAGCCAAATAAGAAATGTGAAGACAGCTAGAAAAATGGCAAATAAATCCACTGCATCTTGGTTCAGCTGGCGTGTTTCTCCCCTAAGCTGCAGCCTCTACCCATCTTTATATGCCATGTGCTACACTGTGTCCTCAGGAAAGATTGGACAAGAGTGTACAACTGGACATGAGCCAGCTTGTGGTCTGCCAAGTAAAACACAGACAGTTAGAAGAGGAGGAGAATTGTCTGCATACATGACCAGTAAGCTGAGGACTTCTAGCTATGACCTCCAAAAATGGATATATATTTTAAATGCCTGAGATTGACTTAGAAGGAACTGATGTAAGTGGTGAGGAGGAGTACAGACACATTAAGCAACAAAGCTGGTACCTCAGCCAAGGCATGAGAAGGGATGAAGTCAGCCTCTTTCCTCAAATCTAAAGTCATGTTTACAAACAGTTTAAGACCATTTTGCCTCTTTACCTTCAATCCATTGCCGGGAAATCAAATGAATCCAATAAATCCAAAGTAAGCACCTCAAAATCTCATAAAAGTGGAGTCATAAAACAGCCCAGATAAAAGTAGTTTTGAAAAATGGCAGTCCTTTAACAATATGTTGAAACACTTAGCCACGTTCAAAGATGAAGCTACATTTTTAGATATTTTGCTAATAAAACTACTGCTATGAGGCCAAGGTGTTTGTAGCTAAAAGGAAAGATGGATGCCTTGGAGAGTGCTGAGAAATTGAATTGTGTCGCTTCTTGGACAAAAACTTCTACCTTCTGTCTGGTTTAATTGTTTAATATTATGTCTTTGGATTTTTGGTGTTATTTAAACCATGTGACTGTGATTTTGGACTGAACCTTTAAAGATTGGGGCAAATATTACTGCCGTTCCCTGAAGCAAAAATTAACTATTGATATGAAAAGAATTGCACTGCTTTCTATCTGAACATGAAGCTCTAGCCTCTGTCCCCCCCCCTGCTGCGTGTCTGGTGACACCATCACACCGAGTTAGCACTGATGATGTCACCAGTGCGACAGAAATCAGGAAAGTAAACAATGGAGAGCAAGATGTAAGGAAGCCAGGGAATAGTAAGTGTGCTTTATTGTTTTGCTCTTTTGTCCCTCCAAAACCCTCTCACTAGTGCTGCGCCATGTTTATTTAATGTAAAAAGAGTTGTTTCAGCTTGTTAGATCAGAAGCGACTGGTGTGTTGACGTACGTTGCGTTCAACGCGGGTTGCTTGCCAAGTCGTTTGACCCGGGTAGACACGCATCAGTGAGCTTTTCCCACTGCCACTAAATGCAAAATGTTCCCGGGTTTAAACGTGTTTTTCGGCCAGTGGGAAAGGGGTATTAGTTTCTGAATTAGATTGAAGAGTTTCTCACAAGGCTCAGGCTATTATGTATCTGAGTTTAGACTGCATTTAAGCAGTACATATGAGCTCTAGGGTTAAACTTAAACTTCCGAACTAGGTTAATGACTTGAATAGATCAATATATGGCTTGAGCTGTCCTGACCAGTAAGCTATCAGATAGAAACTACAAAAACAAAATCAGAAACATTCCTCTTAGTTTCTGAGTTCTGTCAGGTCACACTAACAACACTCTTCAGTGTAGCACTTGTGAATGAGGGAAGAAGAATCCATATTATATATTTTCCCTTATGTGCTGAAATATAAAATCAAAGAGGGCACAGAACATAAAGGGAGAAATCCTAGTTTGCATTTTCTACAGAATGATGTTACCAGTTCATTCAGGTCACTGTTTGTAAATGACTTTTTCCAGGAACAAAAACTTAGACTTAGATTTATTTTGCTCTAGAGGAGTTGTTAAAGAGTTCTTTAAAACATGATATCAATTCATGCTGTCTCTTTAATCAGCAAAGGGCCAAATTGACCCAAAGCTGATACCTCTACATGTTAGAGCAAAGATGTTTTTATTCTTTTAAGATTCAAACTTCTGTCTTTTATGGGGAAGGCTTTATTTGTAAATTCCCTAGATTCCCTGGTGAATACACAAAAAGATTTCTGTCTAGAGTTAATAACACTAACCATGCTAATGAAGCTATTCACAAATGTGGGATGCTAAAGACAGTTGATGAGGTCAGTTCTCTTATTGTGTTTTGACTGATCAAAATCCTGTTCAAACTTCTTACAGTCTAATACAAAGTGGAGTTTACTGTCTGTTTCAATTAGAACCAAAAATAATAAGCAGAAGAAATATTTTCAAAATGTTATTTATAAGTTGGAATCAGCTGAAACTATTTTTCCAAAGGTCAAACTTTATTTAAACTACAGCCGGAAAATGGCCTCTAAATCCTTGATCAATGCTTATCTAATGTTCAATACATTTCTATCTGGGTTAAACAAAGAAATAGCTGGTTCACCTAAAATACCCATAAAGAAGATGTCCATTGACATAAAATATTTATGAGTAATTCAAGTGGTGCTTTAAGCTTAAATTCAAATAACTTCAAAGACCTGTTGCCGTTCTCAAATCCACATAATACTGTTTGTATGATGTTATATCGTAAGCCTGGTTCATGATTTAACGTTATAAATACCTTTTGACCCTGTACCTGGATAAAGTGTGATGGATCAGACCAGGCTCACCTAATACTCTCATATATCCAGCAGACCAACACAGTCCAGAGCTATGAAAGAGGCTACATACTTTCACACCCTCCTCATCTCGTGTTGTTTCACATCTGGATCTTGTATTCCTTCAGCCTGTATATCACTCTCCTCCTCTTTTCTTCCTCCCCCTTGTTCTCTCTGATCCTGCTCTCCTCCTTACTTGGTAGTGGGGCTCCCCTGATCAAAGGCCCTGTGGCTGATGGCACGCAGCGTGTTTAACAAGGAGACTGCATAGAAGCATAGGGGTACATTAGTCTTGACCTGGAGACTGCAGTCTCTTCCCAGAGAGCCACACTTGAAGATAAGCAGATAGTGCTGCCTTGAAGTAATTTAGAAGATTAGACCAAGTTAGGGCTACTGCCATTGCTACTGCCATTGCTACTGCTGACAATGAAAAACATTCAGGTTAAGAGGTTTAGGTCGGAAGGCTGTGTGATGCCAGCGGGGCGCTGCAGTAGGGATGAGATCCGGAAGGACTGTTGGGAATGCTGGGAAGGCACGCAGAGTGGCAGGCCTGATTTATGTGTGCGCAGAAATCAAAGGGCCCTGCACTTGGCTGTTTCCAAACCATTGCAGCAGAACAATAAACTATGGATGCTCTTTGATCGGCATCTTTTTCAAATAGAAACAGGACAGCAAATGCACGCTCAGAGGAACTGGGGTGATCCCGTGGAGCCTGGGGGTACAAACAGAGAGTAAACAGAGCAAACAGGTCCTGATCTTTGGGAAACGGGTCACTTCAACACAAGCATCCTCTTTCTCTACTTTGAAGCGAGATGGGGGTAAAACCCCAAAGCAGGAAATTCCACATTAACACAAAAAAGAGCCAACGTAAACAACCAGATGAATGACACTTGACCTGAGCCTCGGTATGGGAGATGATAAAAGCCGCCTTATTCCGGTTACATAAGCATGAAGTTACTCTGGTGAAATTAGCTTCCTGCTTCTCCTCCTCATGTGTCTTAGCCTAAACCCTGTGGGTCACAAGCACAGGTAGGGTGTCATCTGCCCCAAACTGCTGGAGACAGCAATAACCCGTCACACACTCTTCAGTGAAGAATTTTTTTTTTAACTCTCTTCTTTTCCTTCCTTCTGTTTTTCCTTCTGCCTCTTTATGCTTTTCACATCAATCAGACAGATGATGAGAGAGAAAGTCCCAACAGGGCATCAACAGGAGGCCACACAAGATGGAGAGTTCAAAGACAAAAACTGAACCCTAACACACACTCACACACATTCAAACAGACTTTGATTTCCAAATATGTCTCCATGTAACACAAACATTCCTCTTAGATAGAAACAACACACACACACACTGCGCAGCGTGCTGAGCTACGCACTGAGTTTGGATTTATGATAGTGGGGTGTATGCCCAGCCGTGACAAGCGCTACTATACATGGAAAAAGAAGCGGAATCAAACACAGCAGCATGAGCTAAGCTGAAAGGGAGAAATTACTCACTTAAATATTTTGTAAAGATAAATTATGATTTAGATTCATTACCAGAATCTAAATTACAATGTCATGTTCATTCAAAAAGGAAAATATATATTTTTTCTATTCTGTGCAGAAATCCTACTGTATTTAGATTAATTAGGGACTTATGTCGCTTTTGCTCAGCACTTTTAGTGGAAAATAAAATAAAACAGAGTTGGCCCGATATATCACTACACTATACAGATCACACACCAGGAGAGGTCCCCGAAAGGCAATAAAATGATTAAATCAACTTAGGAGTAACTCATGAGATTCATAAAAGGGAATATTTTTTTAGAACTTTAATCAGAATAGCTTTTGAGCTTTTAAAATTCATACATCACACAAAGTCATGGATTAGATGGGAATTTTTGCAGATACTCGCCCCCTCTGGTGAAAAGTGGAATTGACACCAGTGTTGTGTACAGGCATCGAAGAGAAGGGCAACGACCTCCTTGTTGAAAACTTCCCCAATATTTATTCTTATACTATTCTGTTCCTGATCAGACACCAATTTGGCCATTTTTGTAGCATTATCCAAGAGTTTTATATTATTAATCTTGTGTGAATTCTGTGATGGGGTTTGAGGAGAACTTGTGCCTGCCTTTGGCAACGTTCACAACGCAGCCTGAAGTGACCCAAATCTGATTTTTTTGCCCATATGCGACCTTCATCTGATCTTTTCATGGCTGTCTGAACAACACAGATCCAATTTTTTCCAATGCGACCCAGGCCACTTGGCGTTGTGGTCCTGAATCGGATCTTTTCAAATGCAACCCGTGTCTGAACAGACAGGTTGCATCCATCCGACCTGAATGTCATTAACACCCGAAAGTGGTCAACCTTCTGCTTCTTGCTACCCAGAAGTTGCAAGAAAAACAACAATGGTGGACGATAACGCAGAGAGTAGTGTTTATGTTTAGCCATCTTGGAAAGATTGAGTTTTTAAGGTTGGGAAAGATCATTAGACAAGCTCCAGCACAACCACCCATGTTGACTTCCGTAAACACAGAGCACACTTGTTTGTGATGTAATTGCATCCTCTACTGCGCATGCGAGGCACTTAGGTTGGATGAATGCAGTTCACACAGGAGATCACATACAAGTCGCATATATTTGGAAATGTGAACAGCAACGCAAAAAAATCCGATTTCACAAAAAAATCGGAATTGAGCATCAATGCCTGCAGTGTGAACGTAGCCTTTGATAATCCATCTTAACAAACTGTTGAACTTGTTCTCTTCCCTGCAACAGACTCCATAAAGTAGCCAAGTGAATGAGACCATGCAGCATGTCACCCACCCAGTCACTCTCTCATTATTTAACTAATCACACCTATAGAGGCAATAGAGGTTAACTAATCTTACATATTGGCGAAAGGGCGGATTATACTTCTGCATCCGCACACATCAAATGTCGCTTGCGTCTGGTCGTGAACCAGTTTTGCTGGTATGCTTCTGCAATATCTGTCTGGAATTTCTAGGGACACACAGCAGTTTCCAGCTAAAGCACAAGGGGGAGCCCATTTGAGAACTTGCGAGAACTTCGGCAGATGGTAGCGAGAACTTTGGCAGCACCGGTGGGAGTGTTTATTTTTCAAAACAACATATCTGAGGCATCGTACAAGTGGTTGTACTTCCGAACCTCCTCGATCAACCTTTCGTTGTCGTTAATCCATTGTTGTTATTACTCCTCGAGTTTTTAATCAATCAGTCACAGCTGCTTTTTGTCTGCGCACTTCCGCTCGAGGTCTGCGCTGGTTTACTACCGTCCGACGTGTAGTCACGATTTTTTTGGAGGTGCGCGACAATGGTTGAAGCGTCTCTGTGCAGGGGCGTGGTCGCGCAAAGAGACAGACTTTACGGCTGCAGAGGCTATGCGTCAGGAGCCTAAATTGGCCTTAATTGTAAGGGCATGTACAAGTAAGAAAAAAACTACCTTTAAAATTTGCTCAATTCACCTTTAAAATGCACATATTCTGATTTGCTTTTATTGGTCTTTTTATGCTGTTCTAATTTCAGCTATTTATATGGTTAAGAGTTGTATTTACATTTGTCCGGCTGTGACAATGCAGCTATAGATGTTTTAATAAAAGACAGATATTTTAAATGCTGTTAAACATCACATGTCTTTATTACAATGAGTTCAGTCAGTTATCATAAATTCCTGTTCAGAGGGTCCCAAAATCAGCTGCTGTTTGAGGCCCAATATAATCTTGGACCGGCTCTGGAATAACAGACTCACTTTATTTATTACTTCTATCTACAATGTTAGCTTTTAAAGTGCAATTACGCGCTGAGCTTTGTTGTAAGGCCAAAAAAAAAATCAAATAATAAACTTTTAATTCTAATAAAGATATGTTATTAATCAATAATGGTAGGTTAATAAAAGGTGTCTTACTTCATGTGTGAAGCTCTTGCGTTTTGTTGGAAATCCCGCTCCCAAACTGTAGAGGAGAATGGAGCAAAGCGCGAGCAGCATCTGAAATCTCCTCGCGACCTCTCCACGCATCTTCTCTGTTCCCTTTGAAGTTCTTAAAAACAAATAAAAACTTTTCTCTGGTTAGCTCTGGATATGAGGCAGCTTCTTGGTTTAGGAGAAACTCTCTTCAAACTCTTGTTCTGTCTCAGACTTTAGCTCTGAACAGATGCAGTTTTGAAGTATCGAAGCTCTTTATGAAGATGCGCACCAGCCGCGTGCTCGGGCATCCCACGCGCTCTCTGATGCACCAGAGGCTCGCGCAGCAGCAGCAGCTGTTGGTCCGTTCGGCGTCGCGAGCTCCACGCTCCTCTTCCCCATAAAAACCGCTACAGCAGCAGGGGCTTTAAGTACCCGAGAGAACAGGAGTGTAACACCCCACGCCGAATCTCCCAGTCCGCACCGGCGCACGCTTATTCAGCTGCTTTAAACTGTGACTCACTCCTCGTCAGTAAGAATGTTTTCTTCCAATACACTGACATCTGGGCTTTCTGGTTATCTATCTGATGCGTTAATCTGGTATCAAGACAAGGTTGATCCGACGGTTTTACAGCACGTTAGTTAGTGCGCGTCCTGCCCAGCCAAACGGGTTCAGCAAACTTGCCTCTTTTACGCACGCATTTAGAGGTTTCACGCTGTGGGAGTTGGGGGTGGGATTGCTCACAGCTGTGTGGAGAGGGTGCAATGGGGCCATAGAAGAGCTTTACAAGGTGAAACTAAGAGTTTGTTCATAAAACCAAAAGCTAAAATCATCTGCATAGTATTTATACCCTATGTTTAACTTTTTGTCACTTTGCCACTAGCAGTTTTAAAGACCATCTCAAGTGCGCCCTTATTGTAAAGTGGGAGAAGGATATTGTTATCAAACTAACTTTTTATTTAATTTTGTGGTGTATATTTGTTTTCAGTCCCCTTTACTTCAGAATACCTGAAATAAACGAATTACACTCAAAAAGATACAAACCTGTAAAATAGATCACATGTGATTTCATCCCAGTACACAAAATTATGTTTTTCTTATACATTTTTATAAGGTCCATATTTGTGTGCAAATTTTTTCTATCTTTTTGCTGCTGTAAACACTAGAAGTTACCCATTGTGGGTCAATAAATGGATTTTCTATTCTGTTCTATGGATGTCTAAGAGGTTACAGAACAATAAGAAAAAAATTTGTGGATAGACAGCATTGTTATAACCAAGGAACATAGCAAACATTTCTGTATGAAATAGTTTAAAGCTAGGTTATGGTACAAATCAATATTCCCAAGCTTGAAGAATTGGAAAATCTGTTGAGAAGTCTGCCACAAATCAGATTTTATAAAAGCTGTTTTTTTCTGCTCACTATTTTCATGGTGAAACACGGCGGTGTCAGCATAAGGCTTTGGCAGAGGGAGTTTTTTTCTACTGTAATATGGAATGTGAATATAACTGATGGGACGGAGGTTGGAGCTATACATACAGATCAAGAGATGGAGACTCTTGAGCCATTCTTCAGCTATTAGATTACCTCTCGTAAAGAGTTTGATTATTTTAAAGGAGTTTTCAGACCACTCATAGCTATAATATGTCCAGATTATGTGGCACATATTACTACTTCTGCACAGTGCTTTACATTTGACATCAGTTGTCTGTGCTGCCATGTTCTTATAAAGAATAAAGGTTGTTCTTTATGGCTAAAGATCTCTATTTTGCTCTCATTCATCCAAAGGGCATTGTTCCAGATATTTGCCATGTCATCATTATAGATCAATGACTTTCTCAATTCTAAATAGCTCCTATTTATTTATTTATTTTTTATTAGCCCGATGGAAGAAGAGTAAGGTTTAAAATGTTGAGTGATGCCCCTGGAATCTAAAATGCAACAATCTCAGAGCATTGTCCTTCCATATGGGGCATTTGGGAAGATGTTCATCAATCACAGGATTCATTAATACAAGAACATTATGGCAGCCCTAATTGCTTCCTGGGCATCATTGCTGATAATATTCCCTGTAAGCGTTATTTAAAAACACCAGCTTTTCTACTCTCTTGCTTTAAAAAATGACAGTAATCACACCATGTGTTTTTTTACATAAAGTTTATTTTAAACATTTTATTATCAACTGTTGGTCATTTTTGTTACTTTGTGATGCAGGAAAACTCCAAGCTTAAGATGTGTACTTTTGCAGGTCTAAGTGAATAATAAGGACTTTTCTTTTATTAGCCATTATAGCCCTTAAACCTTAAGTGCTGATGATTAACAGACAAAAAAATAAATAAATATGAATTATGGGTCGTGGCACAGTTTCTTAGCAGCATACTTAATCAACATCATGGCTTTACAGACCTTTTAACCGGTTTATCCTCAGCCTGAATGCAGTTCAGAAGACACACATAGCTGATCGCTTTCCAATAGGTTACTGTACATATTGCATTTAAAGAGGTAAATATTACATTACATATAAGCTCATGTTGTCCATGTCTTTGAACATAGATTAGAGAAAAACTTGGGTCACAAAAAAATCCAAAATGTTTCATTTTTCTATTTTTTTGCCTATGCATGCAGAAATGCTGATGTGACACTAAAATGATAGAACACAAGTTTTATCAGTAAAATAAACTTTTAGACATTTGCAAAATGGATACAAGAACATTGCAGAGCTCATATTAGAAATGTTTTCTCCGAATTAAAACTAAATTTCATTTAAAATTACTACTGAAGTGCTCCTTCAGGTCAAGCATCCTTCCCGTCTGCTGTTATGACCTGTTGCTAATATAATTACATGTCAGACACCACTTTCTGACACCCAGTCTCTACTGTCCACCAGTCTCCACACGAAGCTGGTGGCGTGTTGACAGCTTCCTCATCGAGGCGGCATAACCTTTCATTCCTTTCCTATGCCTTTCATAAACCTTGTAAATTATGCTTCCTTTTCTTTTACTATATTAATGTATCTTTTGAATAACTTGGAATGAATTTTTGCACAAATCCCCATATTGCAAACATGCAAAAACTCTAAAACCTAGTGCTGGAGCCTATGCCAGATAAACAAATAGGAACTCTTATGAGGAATTCTATCCAAAAGGTTGAAGGTGCAGACTTACTTTTTTTCTAAAATGATTTTGGCCTTCCACTATAAGCTGTGTATTGCAGGCACCTGATCAATTAAAAAAGAATAATTCTCAGTGGAAACATTTCCCATTGCAAGCTTCTGTAGCCAACTTGACTGCAAACATCCTGAGATGAAACTTCTTTCTCAGAGGGTTCATGTTTTCCAAACTTTTTCCAAGTTAGTACTCAGACTAGTAAAAGATGAGGTTGGAATGAATCAGGCAATGATGCCATGATTTTATTACATATGACGAGGACAAAAAAATGGCAAAAGAAACAAAGCATTTGATGTTTGTTGAGTTTTATCATCCTTAACGCACACAACAGCAAGACAATAGACAACTTCCTGACCAACAACCACCACATTAAGTTGACATCAGTAGTGACAACATAAAACACAGAAATGCTTGACGGAGGACGGTGTACTAAAAGAAAGATCAAAATTATAACTATACACTGGCAGCAAGAATGATTATGGAATGCTGTTTCAGAGGATAATCATAAAATGTCAATTTTGGTGGAAAAAATAAATAAAAAAAACATTAAAGTATATATTTCTATGAATATCAAGAGAAACTATTACCGACGTCATCTAGGCTTTAAAAACGCCTCTCAGTGGTACAGAACAGATGCAAAGAAATGTAACTGATTAAAATATATAATCTCAACAGTAGCACGTTTCAGAGCTGCCTTTCAAAAACAAAAAGAATATGTATATTCTTTAAATAAATAAATTGTTCTGTACATCGGATGAGTTAGAAGCGCCATCGTCATGCATACAGATCAAAGTTACATGTCGCCATACTCGTGTCAGCCATTCACATAAAAAGCACTTTAGTGAGCAGAAACGGAAGAAAAAAAAAATAAAAATAGAAAACCACACACGTAGCCTATTACCTTATAGAAATGATAAAGACACTAGGCTCAAATGTTCGAGTGCAGGTGTAAACAGTAAATTAGGCTGCAGACCATTAATAGAAAATAACCGAGTAAAAAAATACGTTAGTCTTGCTCCTTGGAGTTCTTCCCCTCTGTCACGTTTTTTTCTTCTGGAAACATCTGTTTTGCATTTCAAGAGAAATGGTAAAAAATATATCTATACATGTGTAACCTTTGGTTTGGGAAATCAAAAATAAAAGACTATTCAGTATTCTATAGTTAGTTCTATCAGATCCATACACTTGGGGAACATTAGTAAAGAACGCCTCTGAGTTTTGGGATGCTAAATCAAAGGCTGTTAGCACAAAGACTGTGATACATAATTTGCAGTTATATCAGTGCTCAAAATAGAGCCCTGCTCATTCTGCTGTAGGATTCTTGAAATCTCACATTTTTATTGCACAATTAATAAAAATCTTCACTGTGCAGGTAGGATTAAGACATGGCGTGAAGGAAGGTGAGAGAGGCTCTGGAAACGGTGTGCAGCAAAATGGTGGATAATATTTTGGTGAGGCTGAATAAGCTGGATAGGTCAGAGAGTACAGTGCATGAGCGTCTCATAGAAGGAGGAAACAGAGAAGCTGAGTGGCGAAACTGGCTCCAAGGAAAACGAGTTATCAGACGAACAGATATAAAGGGATGTGGTGTACAGTGAGGCTAAAGGTAGGAGAGATGGAGCTGGTTCAGTCCTGAAGAAGGCTCTCTTCAGACATCCATCCCAGAGAGGAAAGAGGTTGTTCCCGTCTGGAGTACTTCAGCTGCAGCAGGTCGCCCACTTCACTAATGGCCTCCAGTGCCTTAAGAAAAAAAAAAGAAAAACAGGAAAAGGGGAGATTGATATTAATAACAATTCAAAGAGACCATTTGCTCCAGTAAAACGCAGGTAAGGATGTTGTGACGTGTTGGAGTGGGAAAGTAGAGGTAAGGGGTGAACAGAAGGCTCACTGTAATAAACAAAAACAGCATTGAACAAAAACTCCCCCCACTCCTTCGCACCAAAGACCCTATCAGTATTGCAACACACTGCAGAGCACCTGGAAACAATTTACCTTCCTCCTGACCTTTTTTTTTTTTCCCCGATTCCATGCTTTGAGGAACAGAGAGGGCTGGCTTTTCCCAAGACGGAAAAAGCAGCTCCTCAGCCTGCTTCACAAAAGCAGGCTGATCCCCATTAAATGGACGATTACAAATGGTGCTGATGTGCTTTTTGGACAGATAAATAAAGTGCCTTTTGAGAAATAAAGCAAGCTTATAAAAATCTAAGTCTGCGCTATGCAGTAATCCTAAAAAAGTCTGGCTTTCGAGATTTTTTACATAAAGGAGTTGGAGTACAAAAAACCCATTTTTGTAGAAACCAGTGACGGTGTGACCCAAACAAGCCAACTGTGAGGGGATCTATATTTTGCTATAGAAAAAGAATATATACACTATATTGCCAAAAGTATTTGCTCACCTGCCTTGACTCACATATGAGCTTAAGTGACATCCCGTTCCTAATCCATAGGGTTCAATATGACGTCGGTCCACCCTTTGCAGCTAGAACAGCTTCAACTCTTCTGGGAAGGCTGTCCACAAGGTTTAGGAGTGTGTTTATGGGAATTTTTGACCATTCTTCCAGAAGCGCATTTGTGAGGTCGCACACTGATGTTGGACGAGAAGGCCTGGCTCTCAGTCTCCGCTCTAATTCATCCCAAAGGTGTTCTATCGGGTTGAGGTCAGGACTCTGTGCAGGCCAGTCAAGTTCATCCACACCAGACTCTGTCATCCATGTCTTTATGGACCTTGCTTTGTGCACTGGTGCACAGTCATGTTGGAAGAGGAAGGGGCCAGCTCCAAACTGTTCCCACAAAGTTGGGAGCATGGAATTGTCCAAAATGTCTTGGTATGCTGAAGCATTCAGAGTTCCTTTCACTGGAACTAAGGGGCCAAGCCCAGCTCCTGAAAAACAACCCCACACCATAATCCCCCCTCCACCAAACTTTACACTTGGCACAATGCAGTCAGACAAGTACCGTTCTCCTGGCAACCGCCAAACCCAGACCCGTCCATCAGATTGCCAGATGGAGAAGCGCGATTCGTCACTCCAGAGAACGCGTCTCCACTGCTCTAGAGTCCAGTGGCGGCGTGCTTTACACCACCGCATCCGACGCTTTGCATTGCACTTGGTGATGTATGGCTTGGATGCAGCTGCTCGACCATGGAAACCCATTCCATGAAGCTCTCTGCGCACTGTTCTTGAGCTAATCTGAAGGCCACATGAAGTTTGGAGGTCTGTAGTGATTGACTCTGCAGAAAGTTGGCGACCTCTTCGCACTATGCGCGTCAGCATCCGCTGACCCCGCTCCGTCAGTTTACGTGGCCTACCACTTCGTGGCTGAGTTGCTGTCGTTCCCAAACACTTCCATTTTCTTATAATACAGCTGACAGTTGACTGTGGAATATTTAGGAGCGAGGAAATTTCACGACTGGATTTGTTGCACAGGTGGCATCCTATCACAGTTCCACGCTGGAATTCACTGAGCTCCTGAGAGCGACCCATTCTTTCACAAATGTTTGTAAAAACAGTCTGCATGCCTAGGTGCTTGAATTTATACACCTGTGGCCATGGAAGTGATTGGAACACCTGATTCCAATAATTTGGATGGGTGAGCAAATACTTTTGGCAATATAGTGTATATTAAAACCAGTGATGATTTAAGGAGCCCCTATGAGCAGCTTTAAAGCAAAATGCATATAACTATTGTCATCACTGCCAAGAACTTCAGAAAAATAGAGCTTTAATTGTTTTTTGACTGATAAATTAAGAAGAGCTTACTTTAACATTCTGCTTTCATCACCTGAATTAAAAACATTTATCCTGCAAACCATCTACATAAAGATGCATTTTTGCTGTAGACAGTTTATTTATTTCTTTATATAGTGGTAAACTTGAATAATAAGAAATCTGTGCTCAAGAGAAACTTATTATTAACTTACAGTGTCAAGCATTTCTCTGGTATGAGCGGCTGAAACACAGAAGCGAGCTCTCGACTCAATGATAGGCGTCGCTGGGAAGCCGACAACCACTGTGCCGATGTTCCTCTTCAACATCTCTCGGCCGAAAGCCCTGATGACAAGGATAAACCAAACTCTTAACTTTTATTAACACTTTATGTTTTGTTTTGTTTGTTTTACATAGAAATAGCTATTTATTTATTTTTTTTAAATTAATAAAATGAGGAATAAATGAAAGGTTCCCAGCCAAAGTGATGTGATTTAATGAAGACTCACCCGATTTTAGCCGGCATGTAGAGCATCAGTGGCACAACGGGCGAGTCGTCGTTGCCGTAAATGATGAAACCCAATTCGCGGAGTCTTTTGCGGAAGTAGTTGGTGTTCTCTGAGAGCTGTTTGAGGCGATCAGAACCTACAAGAGATGAAAAGAGACTCCATTTCAAAATTCACATCACTTCCAATGCTACCCTAACCCCATTCAGGTCTTAAAGGATTCTCAACTCAGCTAAGGTCAAAGTTTGGATTGGTCACTCAAAACAATAAATTTTTTTTTTAATCTAACCCTTTTTGTACCTCTGGGCTTGTTGTCCCAATTATTAAAATTAAAAAATTATTTCCTGCTGCAGCCTTAGAAATTCTGTAGTCTCCAACTCGTCATTTAATGCATCACATTGTTTTTAGCCCCCAAAAAGCATGAGGCTGGTACCTCCATTTTTACTACAGACGTTAAGTGTTTAATATAACAAGCTGAACCTAAGACATTACAGTTCCTGTCAGTCTGATGCACAATAGATTCAAATTGAATTCCCAGACTGAGCCTGCAGAGATAGCATCGTAAGCAAACAAATAACCATATGCCACAAAGTGCCAACAGCAACACACATCTGCCTGGCTGGGCTCAGAAACGCAGAGCAGAAACAGCAAAGCTTCAAAGCAACCTGAGACACAACAAACCCTGGCTTTATATTTACCCACACATATTTTCCATTGTGAAGAAATCCACAGGTATTCTTGGCGCAGAGTGATCAGTTGGCAAAAAAAAAAAAAAAAAAGAACGCCATATTCACACGCCTTAGCTTTCCTTTCAGAACACAGACCTTTTACATTTCTGCACTCCTGTGACACTCATGTTTAATTAAAGCTTCCATTTCCATTCAGGCATGTGTCTGGTGTCCTTTTGTTTGTAACACATGGAAACCAACAGACCTTTAATAGGCAGCTGAACTGTCACTATGACTTTATGTCAGGATCTGAAACTTCAAAGGTTGGAACTGCAAACAGTGACTGAGCTGCAACTAATCATACTGTCACTGTTACTCTTCCTCTGGGAAAACTTGACTGGCTAATATCCTTGCGAGAAGGCTGGGCCTTCCCAGCCTTGAAATAACACCAAAGACCTGGTGACAAACTAGAAAGAGAGCACTACAAAGGTTACAGCAGGAGCCGTTATTCTTGTACCTATCAACCGCATGGCTTGAAAGCAGTGTAACCCGATCTTAGATCAGCTTTTAGATGGGGCTTAGATCAGCTTTTAGATGGGGGCTGAATCAATCAAGCTTTGTTAAAAAAAAAAAAAAAAAAAAAAGGTAAATACGGGAAGGGGTTGCCCAGAAAGGATAACAAGACTTTGTCATTTATTTGTGTGTGTAGAAGAGTCCAGCAGAGTTAAGTCTGCAGAGGTCTCTGGTCCTCAGGCACCATGCTGCTTTGCACCTACAGCGTGAAAGCAAAAAAGGGGCACACATGTGAAAGTGATAAAGCTGAATATGCAGAGGCCTTTCCATCATTCTGACTCTAAGCTGTACAAAGAAACAAAAAGGGTAAAAAAAAAAAAAGGATTTAAGATTAGCAGGGATTGGAAGAAATGCGAAGGAAAAATGTCATACTACAGAAAATTAGCTAATGATCAGACTTAATCAGCATTGCTTTTAAAGCAGACAAAGTTTAATTGGAAGGAACTACATAAATTAACTTTGGATTTAATTATCTATATGGATATGTTCTTTAAAAGTATGAGTATCACTTATGTCCTCAGCTATTGTAAAGCTTTCAAACTACTTTTATTTGCTGGTAAGTCTGTTGAAGCTCATGGGAAGTGGTAGAAGCTATGCTTTGGCCTGAGGACCAGCTCTCTGCTGCAGTGTAAGTGCTTTATGCTTCGATGTAAAATACAGATCTACCGCCATCTTGTGGTCAAAGCAAACACTTGCAAACCAGTTTTCCACCAACACACTAAAGCCTACCGTAGTTTGAAGGTTTAAAATGCTAATAAAAGCAAACATTAAAGAAAGCCTGGACCTTAGTCAGACATGTCAGATATGAATTAGAATCTTCTTAATTCAGCACCTTTATCAAAAAATTATTGTACTAAAAATGCTATGAAGAGGAAAAATGCATTAAAGTTCCTTGAGAAATACATTATCATATTATTTTAGTTACTATAAAATCATGCTATAATATATTAGTGTTATTTGCCATTTCCAACTAGCACTTTCTGGGACGTACCCAGTGTGGTTCCATCCTCTCCCATTATGATCTTCATTGAGGTGATGATCTGCTGGGCAACTGGAGGAGACATGGAGGTGGCGTATAGAGCACTGTGAGAATGGCAGCGCAGGTAGTCGATCAGCTCCTTACAAGAGAAATTATTTAAGTTAATTTCATTTGACATTTATTTCACAGGAAACCATTGTGTCTAATATCACAGTTCTTAAAAATTTTCCACATTTCACTTCCAGCTCTATGGTTTTTCACTAGTTGGAAAACTTGATCAACTTAAAAGTTCCAACACATTACAGATTTTATCTTTAATGCTCACTTAATTTATGAAGCAAAAGGGAAGATTGCTTTAGACAGGACAGTATAGCTGGAATATAGTTAACTTACATTATAATTGATCAATTTCTAATCTTTATAGCTTAGATTAATCAAATCAGAACCAATTAATAAAGACAGTTTCTGAATTTTGATACCTTCACTCAGTCATTATAATATTAAAAAAGCTTTAGGTTAGAAAAAAAAAATTAAAACACCTTTGATCGTGTTTAGCTTGGGACACAGAACCAGTTTGAATAGGGCTAAGGTTCAGTGGAGATGAACTTAATGAGTGACTGAGAGGCAGCAAATCAAAGGAGAAATACTGAAATGTATACCAATACAAATTTAAACTAGGAGGTCAAATTTGTCCTGTCGAAAACAGAATAAATAACGCAATTTTCTTCACTTATTGAGACCTGTAAAAGTTTTAAGTCATAAAATAACTAAATGTTTTGAGTACACTTTTTTGAAAAACCAAGAAGGTGCATTTCCTGTTTTTTTTGTTGCCAACAGCATCGACTGACAATACGTGACAACAATGACAGGGAGAATGGACCCTTCCCACATGGAGGATTAAGTGCTTTTAAACTATTTAAATACAATTTTACAGTTTTACTCAAAAGATGTTTTTTTTTTTTTTTTTATTAAAGCCACCAACCTTTTTGCCTCCAATGTATCCACCAGCAGCTCCAAAACTCTTGGTGAATGTTCCCATCATGATGTCCACATCCTTGGGATCCAAGCCAAAGTAGTCCACCACTCCTTTGCCGTTGGGTCCAAGAGCACCGATACTGTGGGCCTCATCCAGGTAGAGGTAGGCCTTGTAGCGTTTCTTCAGGGCGATGACCTCCGGCAGACGTACGATGGACCCCTCCATGCTTTGGGGTTTCAAACAAAAATTAGGTTCATGGTTCCAAAAAGCACATTTAATGAACAGTTGTTTTTTTTGCATCTTTGCTCTTTTGAACTGGAATAAAAAATACCTGACATCAGCAAAATTGTTGTTAGAAGTTAGAGGGAAATATGTTACAGTAAAGCTACATAAAAAGGATGACATGTTTGTTCCAGAAATCCCTCTGAAAGTCAAACTTGTTTCATCTTCATGACATGAACTGGTTCTCTCTCAACAACATGGGTAGGTTAGTGTGAAAATCCCTTAATAATAAAGATGAAGATACAATTAAAAAAAGCATTGAAGCAATTTCAGTCCTTATTAGTGTTAATTCAGGAAGTAGACAAGTCAACAACCAATTGGAGAAAGTAGAACATATTCAAAAGTGTTTCTTTTCTATCTAACATAAACATAGTGAATATAAGTCTTGCTAAAAGTGAGTATAACCTTGATGATGAGAAGTTGAAAAAAACAGTTTCACTAACAGTCTATTTGAAAGAACTACTCTAAGATCTGGAGCCTTAATCACATAGAGCCTGCAAGTTCTGACTGTGGCCAGACTCGATAATTGCTGGACAGACATTATTTATTCAACCTCCCAGAGATTAAGGCATTTAGCAAAGAACAAGCTAGGCTTTCTCAAGCTCTGATTAGTCTCACGGCTTCTGTTAGCTTAGTCTGGGACCTAAAATAGAGGAAAAAAGGATGTCTTAAGTTTTGACTATAGTAGGGAGGCCCACTGCCATCTTAAGGTTGCTTCCTTTTCATTAGCACTTGTCTGAAACTGGTTTGTCTATTGATTAACATCAACAAATTTTATCCATATTAAAACAAGAAATGTTAAACCAAAAGGTGACAGGCTTACAAACTCAGCAAACATACATGTTTTAATCCAGGTGTTTTAGTAAAACACTGATTGGTGTATATACCTGTAAATGCCCTCTACCACGATAAGAATCTTCTTCCAGGGTCTGTGGGTTCTGGGCTGACCGTGTACAATAGCATCTCTGAGCAGCTTTTCAAGGCTTTGCATATCTACAGAGAAGAATGGGCGAGGAGAGAGGGTACTTCAGTTATAAAACACATATTTATACATTTGTCAAAATACATGTTTCCCATGTAAAGCAGTTTTCTTTAAAAAGAAAATAAAAAAATAGGCTCATGCCTGTTTGAACTACTGAGACAATAGCTGTAAGTAACTTTAGGTGACTGGTAATCCATCATCTAGAAATGGGTAGTCATTTCAGAGCACACCATCATTACTGCATAAAGTACAGTGGCATTAAGCAGTTCTGTTCTGCAGGTTAATTTTGCAGAACCACCCTGATCATAAACTTACAATCATAGCTAAAGTGAAATAGTTTTTATATCAAAGCTGATTTGTGTTAGAAATGTGCCAATTGTTAACAGAAATTCAATATCGACTGTGGGAAGACTGGATCATTGTCAAACAAGGATGTTCTCCAGCCAATAAGCAGAGTTGAAGGTATTTAGCAAAGAGCAGCAGCCAAAAACTCCACTCTGTCAATGTGCTAGCTAATTAGCAGAAACACAACTCTAAAGACATTTAGTTGAAACTATGGCAAAAATTGGCTCTACAAAGTATACATTTTTAAAGGAAAAACACAAATATAAAAACAAAGTTTTAGATTTGTAAAAAAAATCATGATCATATAGATTTATTTCCGTTTGATGATTATGCAATAGTGTTTACTAATCCCTTGCAGAAACGTGTAAATACAATAGACAGGTTTGTGGTTGAAGAGTCAGCTGGGCGAGTCCGCAGAATGGAAAAGAAGCAGGAACCAAACACACCTATGACAGCATGTGGTTACCAGCTACCTGGATAAAACAGTTCACAGCTAATGTTGAATAGTGTTAAAGAGTGGATTTACACCAAAGGGGGAAATATTTCTACACACATAAGGAGTACTATTATATTATAAGATAGTCTGCTCATGAAAGTAGTAAGAAAAGTAACTCACTGTTGTGTTTGAAGACCCGGATCGTAGAGCCCGACAGCCGAGCACCCAGCACTAGTGAGGCGTGGTTCAGCTCGTCACTTAGGATGAGACAACCCTACCAAAAGGAATAAAAAAATGTATGTGAACTTTACAAGTTAACTTCCTGCATTTACATAGATAAACTATGTAAAACAAAACTTACAGAGTCAAACTAATCCAGGTATTATTAAGCTAGGGTTCAAAGTGTTGAGAAATTACTTCTAAGCCTCCAAGTTAATGATCATTATTCTTTGGCAGTGCTTGAATATGACTTTGCTTTCTAAGTTTAATCTTAAGACTAATTCTATTCAGGAGATTTAAAACAAATACTTTTTGGATACTTTAAAGTTTGTGATTATTGGTTAGGTATGCTGTTGTGCTGTCAATAACAGAAATGTAATGTTTCCTTTGCATGGGGAAAAGAAAGAGGTAAACAATTCACCTATGTAACTGGATTCCGATGGCTAAATAAAGTCTGTGAAGGACGACAAACCTGAAAAGCCCATTCGAAAAAAATACGGAGGCAAACATTCAACCAAAGCAAGGATTCAGTTTACGTAAGTTCCTGTGGCCAAAGACCAAAGAAGCTTGTTGCATAATACAGATACGTGCCATGACAAAGAGATCATAAGAACAAAAGCTAGCAAAGAAAGATGAACCATGGCTGAGAATTTATGAACCCTTGTGACTTTAGCCCATTTTGTTCCTCTTCCTGCTCTCTGTCAGGAAATGATGATACCGGCCCACGCTGTAGACCCTGCTGAGGGACAATGTGTCCTGCCAATGCAACACTGACTGAAGAAGGAAATAATAATGATCTCTGCTTACTGAGATTTGGCTGCATGACCAAACATCAGCCGGTAACCTTCCCTGCTCGCAGTACTCTGACTGCTTTATCTGGAAACTGCTGTACTCTAGCACAGACTGAACCTTTCCTGTTTTGCCACACTATTAGTAAAAAAAAAAAAAAAAAGACGGAAGAGCTGCTTTTCCTCAACAGTAAAACGGTTAATGGAAGTAGGATAAAAACACTAAATAGGAAAAACATTTGAAATGAACAAAAGAAGAGTTATGCAAGATTCAAAGGAGAACGGAACTAACAAAAGGAAAAGATAAAGACTCCCCACCTTTCCAGTGAGAGCAGGGATGTTCATGGAGTTAGTGGCAAAGCCCATCCCAAATGCCATGGACGACTCAACCCCCAGAAACCTGGCAACCAACTCTTCCAGCTCCTCATGGATATCCAGGTTGCCTAAAAAAAGAAAAAAAAAATCAATGTTAATACAAGCCGTTTCCAGCAGCCTTTTCTTTAAATGTTTTAAAAGAAAATCCTGTTGAACCAATGAACTCAGTTGACTACACAAGCTTGTATAAGCATGGTTCTAGCCCATTTAAAATCCACATTTTACATCTAATTAATTTCTTCTTAATCTTTCCAAAGTACTCACCCATCTCACAGCGGGTGCTCCCCACTCCAACTCCATACTTCTGTGTGGTTTCAATAGCAGCATCAGCACAGGTACCAGTGTTCTCAGCAAAGCCCAGGTAGTTGTATGAGCCCATGTTGATGACGTCCTTCTCTACGTTACCAGTGTGCCTTAGAAAACAAAACAAGTCCAGTCAGAAACAACCTGGACCTGAACTCTTGGTTGTCGGTTATGCTAACCTGTCTGATTTAATCATCAGAGATAAAGCAGGAAAGATTGTTACTGGATGATTCTACAGACAATCGCTAAAACATATTATATTTTATCTTAATTTGTAAACACATCACTTAATTGCTTACACTTCACACTAACAACACTCTTCAGTCAGGAGGCTGTTACTGCAGGAGGAAGACCTAAATTAGCTGTTTATAAAGCCAAAAGAAACACAAAGAATATATGACACTTCTGGATGGAAAATCTTCTTCACAGACGCAAGTCTTTTTTCTTATATTTAGGCTGCTAGTTAGAAACTAAAACACACAGATGTAATATGCTGCAATATGTTCAAAAAGATGAACACATTGCAGTAAAGCCGCTCTGTTTCATATTGAAAAATGTATAAAAGTCAAAGACAGTACAGGGAATAAAAAAAGAGCACTGCTCTTGTGATAACAACTACTAATTACCTATATGAAGACAGAAAAGACATTTTAAAATGGCAACTATATATATTTTTTCTTTGCAACAAAGCAGAATCTTTTTTAATCAGCAGCCCAGTCTGATGACCTCTCTTAATAACAGAAATGCATAATAATAGACCATAACCTCTACATATGCTCACTATTTTAATAAATTGCGGACGAATGATTTAATATTAACACAAAACATTCATAAGTCTGGCTTTCGTCAAACTTATGTTTAATGTGGACACATTTGTATTGATAAGTTTGTAGACAAAGATTTAATATTTTACAGCCAAATGTAAATGTCTCCCTCTTCGTATGCACACATACGAAGAGGGAGACAGTAAAGTATAATTTAGTCATTCATAATTCCTGAAATGAAATCCTTAATCAGCTAAAATTGAAACTTTTACTAGATTTATACATCTATACTGATTTTGTAAGTTTGTGCTTAAAGTTTACTTGCCTTTATCTTCATGGACAATGACAAGAATTTGCAAAGAACTTCAGAAATTCTTGTGCATAGTTTTCATACCAATGTGAAACAGGAAAGCATATCACCCAACTAGAATGTTATCAGGGCTGTTTGTTTACATAAGTTGTCATGAATGCTTCACAGTCCTATCAGTTGTTACAAAAGAGCGGCTCCACTTATAATAAGTGAAGCATTCCCTGATGCTAGTGGTTGAAATATCACAGGATTCACGTAGTTGCTGTAAAACTGATAACCCATGTCAAAACTCCTTTAGATAAGACATATTTTTTACATATAGTAAGATAAAATTAGATCTGAGCCACACCTTTTCTCTATTTGCCTGCTGTTTTTATTCCCCAATCAAAGGCCGCTGTAGCCGCATTTAGGGTTGTTTTAAAAAATTCTTCCATTGAGACTACGCAGCAGATACTGGTGCTTACATAACTATTAGAATCACAACCTACGTCACTTTTATGAGAAGCAAGCTGACGCTGCTGAGGGTACACCTTAAGCAACCACTGGGCGTGACCCCCACAGCAGGACCATCAAGGAACAAAACAAACAGGAAAACTGGACGTGGGATAAAACCACGGCTCTTGGTGCTGACAGATGTGACGTGAACTTTTATTCACTCTGAGGTCTATTGTAGACCAAATGATCAGACAAAATGTCCACTTTTTTGTCTACCAACAACAGAAACACATTAAGCAGCAACCTACTCAAACGTCCAGTTGTAGTTGTGGGTAACTCTCTCCACAAGGTCCATCTTGGCGCCAGGGACGCTGCAGATGGGGCGGTTCCAGTTGTCTCGGATCCGCATGTACAGGTTCCTGGTATAGAAATTTTCAAAGTCCTGATAGAGTGGGACGAAATCCTGTGGGAGGAAAATATGTCCAGGATTATCTGCATCTTATCTTTGTTCCACAGAAAAGGAAATATTCATTATCTAAAAGATAAATTTGGTATGAAAGTTAAGAGTGAGGCAAAACATGGTCAGGACGCTGACTTGGAAGCTTACAGGTTTATTTAGGATCTTAAAAGATTATTTTGGCACAACAATAAGGAAACAAAGAGATCTGACTTCCCAAATCGCCTCAAAGGGTAAAACTGTCCTTATGATAGCTAACAATTTTTACTAAGCAAACAAAAAAAAGGTACTTTACCCTCTGCTCATCTCTCTCACGTGCGACGTGGCATTTTTCGATGTTCCAGTGGCGGAGGAAGTCTCTGAGGTAGCCAAAGATGGTGAGGATGCCATAACCCATATAGGTGAGCACAGCCACCAGCAGGGGCGTCTCCTCGAACGACTCCACAAATGGCTTCTTATACAAACTGGGATTATGAGTCGCATTTTGCTTCTGAGGAACAAGAAAAGGAAAGCTGTTAAACACAAAGCAATGATTATGACCATGAAAACATCCTCTCAGAATGTAAAAGGGCAAATGAAAGCCAACTTAAAAAATATATGACCTCTGATATTTCCTATAAACAGGATTTCTACATAGTTTTCATACTTTCAGAGAGCTCTTAATCCATTTCCAAGTAAGAAGGCAAAACAATCCTCCACCCTAAGTTCACAAACTTCAACACAAGCCTGATTTAAAGCTTGAACGAAGAAAAACAAAACACAGACTGAAAGCGAATGGATAGATTGCACATATACACTATTACACTAAAAAAGGTTGGAAAATACAAGTTTAAAAATCAAACCAGGTTTATTTCTTCCATATTTATCCAGCCCTGGGAGATTTCTGACTGCGCAATAAACCTGTAGAAATAATATGACTCAGGGCAAAAGGATCAGACTAATAAATATAATAATCACCAAAATAAACGTATTTATGACTATTTTCAATTCAACAGATAAATGTAGCAATAAGGACCATAAACACGACTTCTGATAAAAGCAAAAATTAAGGGATGATGGACATGTTGATGCATTTAGAGGAAAAACAAAAACAGGGAAGACTTCAATTTTATAAAGGGGCAGAGGGGATCCAACTTTTAGATCAACAGAAAGAGCGGATACAAAACAGGAAGTAGACCAAGCACAGTAACCTGTTTACACACTAATGCAATTCTAAACATGAATGGTTTTTAAATAAAAAAGGAAACCATTCAGCTAGACTTGAGATCAGATGACTAATAAAATGAAACACAAACTGTAAAACAATATAGACTTTAGATGCTCTCCTTGTGCTGTAGACCAGCAAAGTTCACTCTAACTCTTTGAACCCAGACTGCAATGTTTATAAAGACCCATTCTGCTGGACACAAGGTACAATGGAAAAAAAAATTAATGCAAGGTTGTAAAAGACTGTGTTTTACCACCAGGATTATTGCAGGAAGGCATAAGTAATGTCAAACTCTAGATGAGCGGCTTCAAACTCTGTAAGCAGAATTTCAAGCTGAACTGGGAAATTTCTACTTGAGTGCAGTCACTCATTATAAGCTCTACCCAGCAGCTAAGCAGCAACTTCTCATGTGACCGGTCATGCCTTTCAACGAAATACCTCTGGCTGCTAAAGTAGTGATGTGTGCGTTGTTTGTACATTATTAAATCCTTTCAAACAAGTTAATCTCCAAAATACAATACAGGTTATAGTTTCTGTAAATAAAATAAAAAAAAGATCCCACCACATTCAAATTCCCCTCTCAGAGAAACTACTGGCACACAATGCAGGTAATGCAATTTTCCTAAACATCTAATTTGTTCACTAGGCTGCTAACATGTCACACATTAGCTGGACGCATGAAGAAGCGTCTCTACAGAAACAACGAGAAGGTGTGCTCTTTCCCTTGCTTGCTCTACACCTCGGTGACAGAAGATCAGATTACATTGTGTACACAATAAGGGAAAGCTCCTGGTCTAAGCACAAAGTGTTTGGTTTAAACTAGACAACAAATAAGCAAGCAAGAATTCTTTTTGCAAAATGCTGGTCCTGGGTAAAGATAATCGGAACATAAGAGGGAATATTTTCCATGCCTACCAGATTCACATATCAAAAGGTTTTTCCAACACCAGAATTAAGTCCAAATTTGTTAAGGAAATATCCAAGGCTAAAAATATGCGACAACAAAAACTAGACATGGATTAGGGCTTAATATGAGACCTGCTTCCTGTACTTCCAAAAACTGTAATTACAAAGCATCACTGTTTAGACCTCAAGGGTGGATGGAAGCTAGCAGGATAGGCTAAAACCTCCTTTATGAAGTAAACACAAACCTACAGCTTGATAAGATAATAAGTTAGTTGGTGACCAGATTCAACCAGTTTTTGGTGATGCGTTAGTCACAAACTAAAAACAAACAAAACAACGTGGTAAAAGCTAACATTAACTCTATTTGGTGCAGAAGATGTTACTGAGGGAAAAAGACGGAAAGTTAAAATATTTTGAGTGATAGTGGGGAGATGTTACAAAACAAAGTTAAAGGTATTTGAAAAGAAACAGCTTCTTTAAAGGCATTTGGACTTTTTTTCTTCTTGATTTGCAAACACTTTTCTCTTTACAGTGATTGCTCTGAAAACCAGTTTGACAGCAAGACTTTAAATATATATTTTGAATGATTCTGATTTTGTTTGTTTTTTTAAAAGAGGACCCTAAATGATCAGTTTCAATGATAAGATAAGAGGTTTATTAGTCTTGAACGCATGTTACCTGCACTATAACGAAACTAATGCCCTTATCAAGAAATAAAATGAACTAATACCAAATCACACCTCATACAACTGACAGAGAGGGTAAGAAAAGTTTTACGCAACTTACGCACACAGCATTCAGTAAGAAAGTACAACGTGACCAGGCTTAAGTGTAGCAAAACAAAAGCGGTCAAAGCGATCGAAAGATTGGCTTCAATTTAAGGGAAAAAAAGATGGCAACAAGGCACTATGCAATCATTGCAAAGTGAGGAAATACATCCAACATGCAGAAACACCTGCGCACACAACATGGCATACATCTTAACCAATGCTGTGTTTTTGATGCTTCCGGACAGAAGCTAAAGTTATGACCAGCATGGAAGGCAACTCTGCTGGTAAGTAGCTAGTTTTATATCACTGGATGTGCTTAATGTGGTTCCTAGTAAATCATATGCCATTTCTGGAAATAAATTAATTTCCTACCTCTCTTTGGGGTTATTAAACATGCTACAAAGTTGCTCCGCAGTTCAGGGAGCGAGAGAAAGGTGACCCTCGTTTGTTTAAATCAGGGGGAGATGAGTTTATTTCCCGAAATTGTACAGTAACGCTTTTTCATTAAATGGATGCCTTCTCCATTAGATTTAGATGACTGTAGCCTGGCTGGGTCAGAGGCTGCCAGTTCCCGTTCACGGCCTTCTGTTTTCGCCGTGGTGTGCAGAAATAAAATGTCCCAGGCGAAGGTAGTCGTATGTCACCATGCACTTACCAAGTTCATTGTTGCACAGAATCGATAAGGAATCGAATCGTTTCACCGAATCGATAAGGGAATCGGAATCTTGAAAATCTAATCAATTCCCAACCCTACTGAAGATCACTGCATTCCTACTTTACATCGTCATTTTTCGTCATAAATGCTGTCACTTTCAGATAACGGTTTTGAACTGCGATAAGGATTGCTGCTCTGTGTAAACTTAGGCACTGTCACAATTTGAACTCACATCTGGAAAACAACTGGCATAGCCACAGTAAAGTATGACATCGACTCCACTGTATAAAACCCTCTTTAGGGGGAAGAAGGGGGCCCATTTCAACTTTGTTCTAACCCCACACACCCAAATGAAGAATTCCCACTGTTTAAATCAAACCATTGAGGAACCACACCCTTTAAAGCCTGGAGACATCCAGCTGAAGGGACAAGTCACAGCACCCCTGATTCCCTCCCTCTGCCTGGGAACAGACATTTCTCCAACTACAGGACATTGGTCCTCTTCAAACTCAAGTCAGTAAACAGAGACCTGTCCAACCTCACCAAGCACACACAGCATGGAAACAACAGGGTGTAAAGTTACAGGAGATGAGGGAGGGGGGTGTGGGGGGTAAACTACTACAATCATTCCCGATCAGGTTTCTAAACCCACAACAATGCTAAAATTATATAAGTGACGTTAAAGTCACACTCAGTAAAACGTGAGAGCATATAACCCTGGCATTTCAAGATTATCACTTTGAAGAAGATATGTTAAATATATTTATTAGAAAACCGACATGGCTATTATTAAATATACTAATACAGAGAGTGAGAAGCTAGCTGAACAAAGTAATTACAGAGATATTAGCAGCCACATACTGTAATACTGACATGTAGCCGCGCCTTGCACGTTCCTGCTCAGGAAAACCACTCCCACACAAGAATTTAACCGCTATATGAACACGGGAAATAAACAAGGAACGGTCCGTTAAACAAGGCGGATAGTATTTCTAATTTAAAAATGCAGAAGAGGGAAGTAACGCTGGCAGTTTGTAAGCCGTACCGGTCTCCTCTCGGTAACGGTTGGGCCTTACCTTCTCCCCGGAGCGACGGTACTTCTGGGACTGCTGGAACAGACAGTGGTTCTTCACGTAGCCATTTTTATTTGCGTTTTTCCTGTTTAATGCCCGGCGACAGGCCTCTCCGTTTAACAGCTTCGTCGCTGAGCTTTCCGTCATTTTTCTTTTTTTTTCCCCGGGGAGAATTCGCGAAGTGAGTGGATTCAACTTGTGTAATGAGTGAAAACGTGAAGTCGAATTTAAGATAAGGAGGGGGGGGGGGAGATAAATTCAACGCCCACTTCGACAATGTCCCATGTGATCTCACCGAAGGTGCCGGAAGTCCCCGCCCCTGTGTGATTGGATCAGCCAATAGCGTTGACTTAGTACGAAGATCGTGTATTCAAACAGAAACTGTTCTTATCAGTATTATAATCGCATTGCTTCGCCACAAGGTTCACTCCTCTCATTTTGAAGCATAATGAGACCTCTTAATTAGTTCCGCTCAGTCGTACTCTATAAAGCCCAGCCCCTCTTAGATATAACCTGTGGTAACCTCTCAACACAACTGAATAACCTTTTCCAGTGACGCTCATGGAATGAGTTGTAAAAGCATATTGATAAAGGTAAGTTAATGGGTAGGAACACAGAGTTAAGGAAGCACACCTGAACACGTGATTGTGTCTAGGCCTGACTATTTTATTTTGCTTTTATTTTGGGAGGAGTGGGCGCTTAGACAATCACCCACAGCCACTACTCCAACATTAATTGTGTTTTGCAAGTCAAATTTATCCTAAAGTGCTTTACTAAAGCTGAAAAGAAATTAACAACCATGCAAACACCAACTCAAAATGACACTTGAAAATGCAGAACCAAATAAATTAAATCACTCATTATGAATTTACAATTAATACAACTTTATTAATTAAAGAACAGGACATGTTTTTGTAGTCATATTTGTAAAGAAAAAACAAAATCAATAGAGGAGAAAAGCATATAAAATTAAACTCTGAAAATATAATTAAAAGTTAGATTGATAAAATTACATTTAATCTAGAATAACTTAAAAAATAAGAATTCAATATGTATAAACAAACTATGTAATCATTGAGCACATGTTGAAAGACAACTTTTCAATCAGCTTTTAAAATTATTAAAACCCTTAACTGCTTTTAAGTTTTCAGAAAGGCTGTTTCAAAGGTAAGGGTTGTAATAACCTAATTAAAGCTCAATATTAGATTTAGTTTTCACTATTGTGCCAGAAATATTCCCTTGCACTTTGGACTGATTAAATCATAGTTATTTAACCATTTCCACAATCATAGGTACAACGCCAAAAACAGAGGCAGGCTGGTTCAACTAAAAACAGAAAAGAAAACAAATCACAAAGCAGGGTCACGACTTGCTGAGAGCCATAGACGCACAGGTCACTAATGTTTTTCCTGAACCATTAACTATGAATCTTCAAAATTCAAGTGACCTTCACAATAATTCAGGGAGAGTCCTCGGAGAGCTTCAATTTAGCGATTTGAATGGGTTTTGTGGCTGAGGAACTGCATCCAAGCTTTGCATAATCAACTCTAATACAAAGTGCCAAATGCAGTGGTATAAGGCACTCTGGCACTGAGCCTGGCAGCGAGGTGGTTAAATAAATGTTGTAGCAACTGTACTGTAGCTGTGATAAAAAAAAAAAAAAAAAAAAACAGGAGGCTAAATATTTATCTGTGAATGCTAACGATTACATAAGAATCAATATAGATATGCTTTTTCCAAGAACAAATAAACCTTACAACTGGCCACAGTACACTGTAATATTTTAATGAGATTTATTGGTAGTTGCCGTCTGCACAAGAAAATCACATCAGCAGAGAAGCAAGCAGTAGAGTTGATCAATTAGCTACTTTGAAACATAATCTGAATCATTTGCCATGTCCTTGCACACAAACTAGGAATTTTATTTGGAACTTGATTTCATGCATATATGCAGATGTGTGTGCTAGTTCCAATTACTGTTAGATTTACTTGTATAACTTTTTCAAAAATTAAACTTTTAGTGGTAGTTTTACAGAAAGGTACATTTTACTTTTCTGGAGTAAACATATGCTAAAATATCATTACCCTTACTTGAGTAAAGTTCCACTGTGAATAATTTCACTAAGTGACAAAAAAGCCTGTTTTAAACAATTATTCCCCATTGAGAGACACACTTTCCTATTTTTGTACTCAAGACTTATTGGATAAATGTTACTTACCGTCTGCTCAGTCTGCGAATCATTCGGAGGTTAGGTGAAAATATAATAAACAGTGCGTTTTAACTTAACCTATTCTACATACTGTAACTATTGATTTTTAAAGTTTTTGTGATGATCCTGGTCCGATTACTCATTTCACACGCCTGTTTAGCTCCACCCAGTTCTCATTACCTGCTTATCTGATCCACCTGCATTAGTCACTATATAACCAGCCTTCAGACTAGTCATCAGTGCCACATTATTTCGAACCATTGGTGAGAATTATTCTAGCATTCCCGTAGTCTGATTACCTGATCATGACCTGTTCTGCCTCTCGAACTTCTGAGCCTTCCTTGTTCCCATCTGATCTGTTTTCCTGACCTGTCTGAATCCTGCTGGAGCTCTGCCTGTTTGTGCGCCGGAATTGTGACCCCAATTCATCCTGGATTCTCCCACCTCACCGGATCTCTGACTCTTTGGCTCTGACAACTGAGCATGTCCCCGATATTGGCTTTGACTTTGTCCTCTGGATTATCCTGCCTTAGACGCCAACGCTATTCATTCTGATTCAGTTTTCAATAAACGTTTTGAGAAATCGAACTGTTTGTCCCCTTTGAATACTGTATCCTACTGTTTTGAGCCTGGCAGTTTTAAAGCTAAAAAAATGTTCAATCTGTTGTTATGATCATGTTAATAAGCAGATTACTTACTCAGTAGTTGAGTATCCGTTTTACCAAATACTTTTTTACTTTTACTTGAGTATTTTATTTAAAGGCTATTTTTTCTTCTAAATAAGCTACTTTTACTTAAAGGCACACTATGCAACATTTTTCAGTTAATTAATGTGTTCCATAACGTTTTGGATGATTAAATGAGTCATTTCAGGTTGAACAAAGGTATTCTCGGCCGCCCTGGTGGTCTGTGGGGGAAATACTGCACTTGCAATTGCAGGAGCAACGACCCGCTAGCCTGACGTAGTCCGACTCAATTCTAGTCAGAATATGAGTCTGATACTGCTCCATAGAGCTGTGATTATGGGGCGTGTTTCGAACGAACCAGGAAAAAAATGCCTCTGCACTCAATTGGATAGATCTACAACCGATAAGAGCAACGGAGTGCGTGACGTATGTTAAGCGAGGCATAGTTGTTGTCAACAAAAATCAAAGCGTGCAGTTGCACGCCTAGAATAAGAAGATGAGACTTGATCGCGTTTCTCTGTTCCTCTTTTAAAATTTATTTGCTGTCGATATCTTCTAGAACAGACCTAATAGCAGAATCTACTCACCCAAACTCTCCAGCGGCAGCCATTATTGTTGTCATTCAAGCGCGCATTGGTCACGTGGTTGATTACGTTACTGTTGGTCAGCTGTCCATCATCGTATAAAGCCCGCCCTGACAATTTGATTGGATCGCCTGCCAGTGGGCGATAATACTCGCGCTACTATGGAGCAGAGCCAGACCGAACTTCCCGACCTCAAACTTTGTGGGCGGGACTAAGTTCGGAATGGCACCCAGGTTACCGACCCGCACCCACAGGCTCAGAAGTCTCGTGAGAGTCAGTCTTGCTTTACGGCGAGAACTGCTACACCCCCCAGTTAAAAGCATTCTCGTTGCTAGCACAGTGGCGATCTTTGTGCAGTTATGCTACGTTCACGCAGCAAAAGCAGCAAAATCGTGTCTGCTGCTTCATTTTTGCTGCTTGTACCAGTTAGTTCTGACGCGCGGCTGAAGCAGCTTTGCTGCTCTGGCTGCGCGGTGCAAAAGTGTGTCTGACGCGCGTTGGGCGGAGCTAGTCTATCCTTTCTCTGCCTTGCAGCTATATTTGCTGTGATCATTTGGAATCAAGTAGTTTTAATATGTGTTTAAATGAGAAAATACACCTGAAAACGTAATCAGTGCCGTCAGTTCATTCAGATTATTATCCTGCCTTCAATATTTTTTCTGTCGGAGCCGCTCAGACCCCCACATACCAGCGGTGCGCCGACAGAAGGAATCCCTTCATCAGCAGCCTCTGGCCAGGTCACCTCCTCGCGGTTCACCACGGCAGCTGGTAGGTGTTTTTCATCTAAATAATCCAAACTGCATACTCTGCCGGCAGATTTCTGCATTTTAAGTTAATTTAGGCGTCAATAAACTGTTTAGGAGGAGAGATCATAGCCTCTGATCATCAGCGCTGTGTCTCTCTCCCTGCTTCAGCTGCTCAGACGCGCTGGGCCTGCTGCTCAAAACGCGCCGCGGGACCTTTTGCTGCGCCTTGACGCGCGTCAACCATTGACTTTGCATGTAAACTCGCTGCTTCTGTCGCGCCAGCTGCGGTGTGAACGCAGCATTAGTCATTCGTTGCGTTCGCCTGTCTGCTAAGCTCAAAACAACCGCGCCTGGCTTGACGGAGAAACCAGGAGAACAGCTGTGCATATTTACGACAGTGCACTTTTACTTTCGCCCTCTGGGGGGAGCCTCGCTGGAAAATCAACACCGGTTGCATAGTGTACCTTTAAGTAAAATGCTGGGGTCCCCTCTGTTTAGTGGATGAGCTCAATGATGGACGGACACAGGTAAGACTGAATAATGGTAGTGCAGAAGATGACCATCTGCATCTGTGAAAAGACCATGTGTCATCCTCTGTGTCAGGTTCTATTTCTTTTAACTGTTTTAATCTTGAACATTTGACTACATTTTGAATTCTGGTCTCAAGCACAAATTCCTTAAGGATCTGCAGGTATTTAGTACCGTACCTAAATGCCCATCATCCAGCTGCATTAAAGCCATACGGTTGCCCTCATTTTTTATGTAACAGGACCTGTATGCACAACTTACCTCAGGGAGCTTAAAATACATTATATTGTGACAAGTACTGTGTGTTACACATGCTGTACACAAATTTGTATGTTTTGGGTTTTATAAGATTTTTTTTTTTTTTATGTAGTTGTTTTCTAGAGGATTGTGAACCCAGTCTGACAACGTAATGATTCCCATAAAACTAAAGACTGCTGGTATTCAAAATAGCAGTCTGGGGTTCCTTTCCTCACCCCGGATAGTG